ATTATTCTGTCCGAACAAGTGACCACACTGTAAAAATGACTATATGCTCCGCACAAAAACCCAAGGGTTGCCGCTCTATTCCGGTTGATGGTGACTTTTAGTTCCGCAAATTTAGCTTGAGCAAAATGATCCCCGCACGAAATGATGCCCCCGCCCGAGCGCGATTGCTGCATACACCTCGCAAGTTCCGACGCGTACTGTACGATTTACGTGCGCATGCACTAAGCGGATAAAAAAATTGGCCGTTTCCTCCAACTCAAGTTGTGGCATACGAGCCCCGTGCTTAGCCGCAATGATCTTCGTTGGAACCAAAGATTATGGCATTATTAGACTACGGTCATGATGTACGTTACTGAACGTATTATGTAATATGTTTGTAGGTCTATTCGCGTGATATAAAGCTTTAGCTGCTCTCCTTCTCGCTTGTTTGGCCCAGAGGGCAATGGATTACTCAATTAAAGACTGATTCACTGTTTAACCTCCGGAGCATCCGAAATGCTTAATTAACCTCTTTTCTTGCCTTGTATCAGCCCGTAAGCAGGGTTCATTTTATTCAGTTGAACTCTCATAGGGTTATGTTTATTTAATGCTGAAGGCTACATTTTTATCCCTCGAACCAAATGTGAGAACGGATATCACTATTTGTTATTTACTTCATTGACCGTTTCATAAGGCAGTCCCTACTTTATCCATGAACCATTCCCAACTTGCGTCATCATTATGTATTTTTTTAAATAACTATTAACAGCAGGATTGAAAAAACACCCGTTTTTTTTTTATTTTATATGATTTCAGTTTTAGAATACAAATGGAAGTGATAGTTGGTAGCATTTGTTAGCATTATAAACCGCTAAATTTTATCTACTTTACGTCGTATTGTGTCTTGCGCTATAAAAAAACAAAATCTTGTAAGCATAAAGAGTTATTGAAAATCTATTGGCCGTCTTGACCAATAATATTCTCATTATCATTATTATATTTTCAAGAATTAACGTACGGGAAAGCTTTTTCACCGCTGGCCACTCTTGGATGAAATATCTCTTAATAACTAATAAATAAACATGTTATTGTTTTATCCGGATGGCTATGTTTGTGGTAATCAAACGTTAAGAAAAAAGATTTGGTCGATGTGAAAGAAGTAAATTTTGATTTTAAAAGCCTGTTAGAAGGATCATTATCACGGAGTTCATGAATACAAAAAGCTGTCAAGCTTGTCGAAATTCCGATCCCGAATACGTTCTACAGTTCTACGACACTACTTTACGGTTTTCAGCTATGTTAGATACAAACCCGTTTCAAAAAACTCATGTGGACCTCGGATGTCTGCGTACATAGACAAGAGTCGTTCAACGTTAACTAATTTATTCGTTTCTGAAACATATTTTTCGTCTTTCGCTTGCCAGTCGTTCACTTTGAGAGTGAAGCATCTGTCAGGAACTTGGTCAATGCCGCTTTTTTTCCATTCAGATGAATCTTGCATACTTTTTTGTACAGCGGTACACCACACAGACGCTGTACTTAGGTAGCAACGACGTCGAAATCGAGTTGGTGTTGATCCGAGCCGTTGACTGGAGTGGAGCAACCTACGGGGCAGGCTACGAGAACAAAACTCTCTCTCTTACGATGGGCGGAGCCGCATCAGAAGCAGGCAAGACACGAAAGTGGTCGGCGGACTATCGATGGGTGTCGTCGCTTACGTTCCCTTTGACTGCGCTAAGAGACAGTTTTAGAGGGAAGATAACGAGTGAGAAGAAAACGCGTGTGCTGAACACGGATATAGCGTCAGTAGGGAGAGACTATGTAGTCTTAAGGGCCTCCTGAGGCCCAAGACCCACGATGATGAAACTAGCCCTGCTTCTGTTCCTTCGACCTTACGTGAGTCTTGCACTTATACGCCCTTAAAGGTTACGTTGTCTATGCTTGGCAGGAACTTCACCGATGAATAGAGTGTCAAGAGGTTACTCAAAAAGCCCGTCAGCAACTGACCAAGCACCGAATAAAGCGAGTGTCTACGAAGGAAACGCAGGGTTCAAGAAACTAGGTCAACGAAGAGCAGGGAAAAATGAAAAATCAAAACAATTTGAGGATGACATTGTAGCGTTTTATCTACGAGATAATAATGACAAAGTGATTGTAAGGTAGTATTTAATTCAATTACCTAGGTAAATAAATATATAGGGTTGTACATGTATATAGGGTTATACGACTAATATATACAGCCATGAAACACCAATTTAAGACTCTTTTACTTTTTATAACTTTTCTTGAAATAAGAAAAAAGTTTAACCAAAAAATGCAATATGTATGATCAAACTTGGGTTCTATCTTATTGAAGAAAGAGTGTTGATCTTACTATGAGGACATTACTTAAGGTCAGCAAGTCTACTCTATCGTCATGCGCTTTAGACTCCTCCTGGTCCTTTACACTATCTCTCAAGAAGTAGACATTTATCAGTAAGCGATTCTCGGTATTCGTTTATAGGCGTTTGTCCGTCTTAGATTTAGATACACGAATACAGAACTCAATCACACTTGTTCAACCAAATGCTTATAATCTGCTACCAAATGCTAATTTTAGGCAGCTCACTCATGTAACGCGCGAAACGTATAGTATCGCGGCGTTTATCTTTTTCTGGAAACAAAGCATTCTTATCGAAAGAAAAAGGAAAGCACCTGAAACACTTTCATGGTTCCATGAAAGAACAGATTTATTGGAAGCGCGACATTTCTGAAAAAACATATATATGTAATATATATATATATATATAAGGTACTTGGTAAATAGACAGCATTTTGATGAGGCCAACCTTTCGTCGAGTGCTAACCTCGCTTGGGGTCCTGAAGTGGCCGTTTGCATAGCGTTTGTTTTTACCAGTTGTATCTTTCACACTATGAAGCTGCCTGACTCTTCGATCTCTTGTCGAACTTTTTTTTGACTCTTTGATCCCATCCGTGTTACGTTCGTGAGCTGCTGTCGACTCTCTGCCATTCGCGCTAGACCCTCACCCGAGCCACTATCTATGTTCTATCGGACCTATATTGCCAGGACTCATTGGAGCTCCACCCGAAATTTTCTTATCCCTTCCTCGGGCAACGGCAAGTCACGACCCAGTGACCTCCCCCGCGCGCGACGTTCAGGGGTTCACGAGACAACACTTACACCGAGATCGCAGCTCACACCGAGCGCTGATTCTGAGTTCAATGAGTATTGAAACAGATATCCCTTTATAGACAATCTTACGTTCAGCGGAGGGTTCAGCGGAAAACCACATTTGCCGTCTAGCCATGTTTGACGGCGCATTTTTCCTACTGTCTATGCCACCCGATGCCAGAGTGCGAAAAATCACTGGACGGTGTGTCCATTTAGAAATTTTCTACCGAAGATTGACCAAAGAAAGTTTTCATCTATTGAAGTTTATTACGGTAGTACATTAGCCCATGCGACGCTACAAGTTCGAACGCCGACCGAGTCGTAGCATTAGTTTGTTACGATGTGCAAGGTTATAAGTGTTCTCTTCTGCAAAAGAAGTATCGGACTAATTAGCTTTGTCTCGCCAAAGATGTCTGCTCATCTTCGTGCCGGTCGAAGCGAACTTATCGGATCAGTGTAAGATAAACTTTCTCCCGCTGCATTGCTTTGGCGCGCGCACTTAGCTACGCGAGACAAAGAGTGAAGGATTAGGTTCAGCCGAATCTCAGATGGATGAGGGAAAAACAAGGCAAAGGATGTTTACGAAGAAACATTAGCTGTGAGTGAAGTACTTCTGATGTTGCAATACTTCACTGCAGTAAAGGACACAAAAACAGGAAGAACCCATTACCGAATAAAGGGTATCCAAGGGAATCGTTTTCGTATATTTTTGAGAGTTAGCCACAATGATCACCACGACTGTCCGAAAGCGCCGTGCAGGCGTGGCAAACGAAGACGAACTTAGAGCGTTCTACGTTCCAATGACAGTATCAATTTAATATCTAGGAATAATAGAAAATTACAGAATTTCATTAGATGAGTGCGTGCCACCTTTGGTTTAATACCACATTTGAAAAATAAGTGCAAGCCATAAGCGATAACCGTTGCAAAAGAGTCACCAGAAGCACCGAAATGTTCGTCAATTTGGTGGACAGCAAAATGTTGCGGTTCGAGGACAAATTTGTGACGCCTTCATGGCCACCAACGCCAGACCAAGAGGGCGGCCACCCCTACAATGTGATGTATGGGACAAATCGGAATTCTAGGGGCAGAGGTCTATGATAGAGTAGAGCCTAGCACATGTTCACAGCCTTCGTAGCCTACAGAGAGTCTGACTCTAAACTGATTGCTCATGAACATTGATCGTCGTCAGGGCGGCATGGTAGTTGCGTACCTGGAAACCTACTAGTGCACAAGTGGTAGCTAAATCTAAATAGGACCATTTTTTCATAGGCAAGCTTTAATGGAAAACAAATTGTTTCGTAGATAGATACTTTTTTCATTTCAGCACAAATAATAACCTTATCTAGGTAACACAAAGTACTGTGATGCTCAGTTATTGCTTTGTCTTGGTCTTTCCTCAGGCTGCTGACATTTTGCGTTGACGGAATCACACCGGCACTGAAGCAGCTGTTCGCATATTTAAAACAAAAATGATTTTTTAGGTTAGATTATTTTGAAAAGTAACTTAGTTTACCTAAAATTGTCTGCATGCATTAGTTTGCTTGCGTTTTCAATGTAGACGTATGTACTCCAATCGGGGCTAGAAGAAGTCCACTTTTAGAAAAATGTAAAGGCATGTCTTCTGTAAAAGCGCTTAAAACGGCTAGAAATAGCTTAATCTTATTATTTTAAGGCATTTTTTGCGGTGCATGTTGTCTTTCAAAATGATTACAGTAGAGAAAGTGTAAACGTTTCTCGCGATTCGTCTTAAGGAACACTCCCCCTAAGGAATGCAAGCTAAGCAATAATGTGTCCTTGACAGCAGTCCTGTTTGATAATATGTGATTTTTTCGCTGTGGTCCTTTAGGCTCGATCCGTCCTATTCTACTGGAACTGCCTCCACTATCGATTCAGGATCAATCTATAGCGACTCGTACGGGCGTTCGCTCATTCGGCGACCCTATTCGAGGATGAATACTTTACAAAACAAAGGTATCGTAAAGAAATCTTTTCTAAACTAATCGCAATTGAGCTTATAATAGTTCGACACATAATGTCTATTCACTGAAGTCCATAATCTTTCATGCAACGGCGATATGATATTTGACTTCATCAACTTTCTATAGGATTACTATAGGCTATTGAATTGCTTTCAAAAAAAAAAAAAGATATAAAAGGCACTTCGAGCCCTGTGAAGCGTCGAATAATTTTCGATCAAAGCGCGCGCAAATTTAAATCCGTATATACTGAGAAGGTCCCGATGTACCAAAAAAACGTGAAAACCTGTTTGCCTTGTTAGGCCTGCTTTTACCATTAAATTCATTTTGGTGTTTTGTCGTATATCTAAAAACACTACGCGGCACTAACATAGGTCAAACTAAAATTATATTTTACCAATGCAATACTCGCATATATATCTGTATATATATATGCTTCAAAGCAAAACCGTGTAAATAGTTTGCTATATGAAATAATTGCTTTATGTTACCCTAATCGTTAACGTTTTAGAGTACTGCACGAGGTACATATGGTTATTTTTCTTTTATTTGAGCGGCGAACCAATATTGTCTAATTGTTAACTCAGGTGAAATAGTCTACTAGTAACTAATTATGTCATTGGCGTTTAGGTCAGTTCTTTAGGCCAAACGTAATTCGGTCGCTTCCTAAATTGTAACGTGACTCAGCCTGAATACTATATCTATATATAAAATTATTTCTGTGGCGCTATGTATATCCGATACGTCTTTCATAGTGATTTGATAAGTTCTATAAATTGGCCCTTTGTCTTTCAATAATAGCTCCTTATTTAATGATGTAGTAGAGTGTTTGTTGATATTCAGACTTAACCGTTTCACTCTGTCTAATGCTCGCCACGGACGACAGGACGTTCTTAAACTACTTCAGATACGTCCATATAAACGTTGCTTGACGCAGGCTGCGATCAAAACAGAATGCATAATTAACAGTCGAGTATGACCTGTGCCATGGATACCAGCATCCCCGGGGCATGTAGATAATTCGAAATTAAAGAAAAAGAATCATATAGATATCATGTACATGTCTAGCACCATGGTCATCATGCCTCAGTCTAATAGCTAACTCTTTGTAGGCGGCCAGCTAAAGCCGGCTGATGTCATCTTGAAAGATGACGACATTAACACGATTATAGAATGATTTAGTTCAGCTAACATGACGTGTAGGCGTTTTTAACGTCTTACCTCACTTTGCTGATTACGATTATGACTGAAACAGATATATTAGAAACACAACGTGTACTGTTTTACTATATTAAAGGCAAAGATTAAAGCAAAACAAATTCGATACCCACCTGAGGCGGCGAAATTTCACAGCGTCATATGGATTTGATGTACAATACTGCTGGAAACACGTTGGTCACACCATATAACTGTAAAATGAATCTGTGTATTTCGCTAGGTAAAAAGCGTTCTACATTAGAAATGTATCTGGGTGTTGTTAAATAAGTATCATCTGCCACTTGAGCAGCCTGATCGGTTCCCACATTGACTGGACTGAAACACAAAGGGTTCAACTTCATAATCTAACTTGATGAAGATCCGACATCCGGATTTGCCTGATTTTTTTACATACAATTCGTATGCTAGCCATCTCTTATGCTTTTTAAGTCTAAGATCTTGTTCTGATTATCTTCCACACAGGCTGTTATAAGAGACATCACATCTCATTTCCGAGACGGCCCTACCTCGTTTAACTTGTCGAAAGCTTTAGCAACGCAGATTCCCGGGATTTCCACATTCAAATTCTATCATGCTGGTGCTTCCCGCCTTTTCTGTAGCAACGCGCAAGCCAGACGAAACAGTCGATATTGGCGTTATTATAGCAAAAACTTGTAGTCTTCGACAGCTCTAACACGCCTCGGCTGGCCAATAGCATTTTATATAATATGATATATTAAAAAATGGAAAAGAAAGCGATGTGATTGTTGAGGTTCCCTCGTACAATGATTTGCCTATAGAAAGAAAGTAAAAGGACGTAAATGGAGAAAAAATCGTCCAGTGAATAGGACTGCGCTTATCTAGCGCTTGTCTTTATAATGAGTATATTAGAAATAAATATTTATCCATCGTGCAGTTGTTCTATAACTGGCATACGCGGTAGTTTTTTAGTAGTCAACGATGTGTTTACCTCAATAGAGAAACAAAAAGGTAGCATGGATTATGTTGTATATGTATGTAATATATCGACAACTGGCAGTTCGACATAGACGGGGGTCTTTAATATCCCTTGAAGCTGTTAGTTGTCGAAAGCCTACATCGGCGTCTGCGACAACCAGAGCGACTGCGTCGAAAAAATCAATTGATATACAGCGTAGGTTTTAATGATCCAATATCTTGCTTACTAGCAATTAAACAAGTAGTTAATTAGGGATTTTGTGACTGATGGCGACCTTCGCCTCATCGCGCTTGTTTGTCAGATTTTTATTCCATCAACACGCATTCGGATTAATTTCCGTCAAGACTGATACAACAAATATTTGCGTTTGTCTAATAACTTCAGCAAATTAGGCAGTCGCTTTAATCTTCGATAAAGGGATAGAGGATACAAGCAGCTGACTTAGGCCTGAAACAGGAGAAAACGATCAGATCTTTATTTTTATAGTCCTCGGAGGAAAAATTATGTCAGAAACGGTACATTTATCGTAATGTTGAGATTTACACATGAAACGTAAAAATTCCAAGTTGTTGCGGATAGAAAAAAACTGCATAGTACCATCAACGAAAGCGATGCTAGTAGTTTGCTATTAACAGCCTCGTGGCTGATCGAATTAAATTGAATCGAGTCCCTTTAACGGGGGGCTCGCAGGGGAATTTGCTCCAGGAATCTGCATCTGTGCAGTGCGTGGGGTGCTAAGCCCCTACGTCATTCGTTTACTATTGTTAAAACTACGTACTGCTCTCGCATTGTTACTGGAGTATTTTATCTGTACATGTAACTATGAATATGTCTTTAGCCATCAACTGATAAACATCTGATCGTTGATATCGATTGACTGTAACATCTGATTGATCTTTGAGTGATTTAGACTGGCCCAAGAATGTCATTTCTCAATACATCGTATGCTGTGATGAGCATTTGTTGCGATTGGATAGCGAACAATAATTGCATCTGAACGTCTGCGTGCCTTGAGCTGTCGTGCGTTTTGTTATCATACACAAATAAATCTCAAGCAGAAGTTAAAACAATTCTTCTGAAGCAAATTCATACTTAGATTCTGGCAAGTTACAGAGCGGTCCGTGTTGCACCCTGTAATTAGAAATAATTGTTTGGCACGATCATTGACTGTACCAAGACGGTATCGTGCGGATGAAATCATTATGACTCGCCGCTATGTGCCCCCTTGACCCCTTGTCGTAGCTGCTATCCAGCTTTGCCTCATTTGCGTGGAAAGCGCACCGCAGTCGTGCAATAACGTGATATCTACCCACTCGCACATCCCCACGCGCTGAGAACGTGTCGTTGATCCATAAGTATCTAATTTCTGATTTTAACACTACTATTTGAAATCAGCCGACGGTTTCTTCTACAACCCTTCCCTGTGCTGCATATACCGCCGTAATTATACTAACATTTCGAAACAAATAATGATTAACATAATGGTAATAATAATAATAGAACTTCTTTGCAGCGGTAGCCTTAATAATAATAATAATAATGGATGATGAAACTTTCATTATTGTAAACTAGGACGTCCTTTGTCCTACTTCAATTAAGTTTCAAAAAAGTTAAGGAAACAACATACAATCGCTCGAAAACATTTATTATCGACAATGCAAAGTATTGAAAAACGTTAGATTTATCCATTCTTATTTAATCATTACGTTAGATTGAATCCGTTATTTGTTATTTTATTATTATTTTTTTAATTATCAGGATTGCTGAAAAAACAATTGTAAAATAATAATAATAGTGTTAACATGATATGACTGTCTTTTGCATATATATAATAGAATTCATAACAAAAACAGCTTCAATTTTACTCTTGAGCTGCAACGCAGAAGTGCGGAACAATTTCAATCAGCAATGAAAGTGTAGGCGGCTTTCAAAGACGCATAGTTATGTATGATGCTAAAATCGTTTAAACATCTGGTCGTTTTTATCAATCGAACAGAAATGATCTATCTAAAACGACCGCTTATGTTTTCGAATAACCAGATTCACAGTAAAACAATAATAGATTCCAGCATTAATTTTCCCTTTTTCTCTGTGGCAGGAGCGGGGGGTCGTGGCTTGAATCCGCGGCCGGATCCCGTCGAGTCGTTAGGCACATTCGGTAAATGGCATTTCCTTATACTCGTCTACACTATCGTACTCGGATTAGTCGTAGCTTTTCAGGACACCGTCGGATTAGACTTCCTCGCCCCGCGAAACATCGCCTACCAGTGTGATTACTTCGGGTGCGTACATTTTACAGTCATCGCCAGTGTCAACGTCCACCGTACGTATGCAGTGTTCTTATTTACCACAGTTACACGCGTACTGGCCGGGTTCAGTTGCGGAATATCAGGGCAGCTGGACGGAAGAAGGCCGTGCCCACTAATCGCAGTCATCTTGTTTTGCTTAGACTAGCCTTCATCATTGCTATCAAATGTATTTGGTACACACTAATTAATATTCTGGACACACAAACAAAACGTGCATCTTATAGTTACGAGAAACGTTTTTAATTTATTAAGGACGTTCTTTTTCTTTTTCTACTTGAGCCTGATCAAGGAGTTGAAGTTAACGTCTTGGTCTTAAAAGACTTGGTCCTGATAGATGGCCAGGACGCGCCTTTAGTAAAAATTTGTTTCCCGCATGAAGGGGTATTTCAAGAGGATCTTATTCAAATTTGAGATTGAAATTCAGCAGATTAAAATTAAAGCTGTAAATCAACGAAAGCACTATAAGCTGTAATAATGAAGAATTTTATTGGCTTAATCATTAGCTAACAATGGGACCAAACATCTCGTCACGTAGTCATTGTAATTGTCGGAAAAAAACGATAGTTATTACAAGTTCTTGTTATCGTCGAGCACATGACTGTATAGAAATAACTATACTTAAAATTGAACAAGGTACTATAACAGCTAAGATGATGAACGAGCCATGCTCGAATAATTCTGAGGAACTGGTAAAAACAAAATGGCCGTTCCTTTATTTGTGGTTCGTGTAGTGAACTGAAACCCAGTACTATTTATACTCCCATATATATATATATATATATATATATATATATATATATATATATGTTAGACATAAGTACGATTATTGGAAAGAAGCCGGACGTTATCGCGAACAGGTATTACATACAACACCTGTGCTATTTGTATGGTAGCGATTGACAAACAATTAAATCGATAATTTTTTTTCGTTGAAAGATAAAATTGGTACTATTGTTCAGCTCGCTACTGGACATTTAAGCTGTTTAAACGCATAGAAGCAAGGAGTCATTTTTTTTGGCCCAATGTCACCGAAAATGCGTCTAACAACAGATTCGAGCCTGGATTTGGATGTGCTAGAAAACCTTCTCCTTACCGATGTATAATAATTCTTACATACGTTCAGCTCGTTGATATCAGTCAGATGGATATTTGGGACGATAACGTTGAGATTGTTAGTTTAGAAGAAAAGTAAGGTGGGTGGCAAACGAACTTTACGCACAGACGTTTACTTAAGTGATTCGTTGTTGGGAATCGTTAATTTCTGTTGTTGGTGTTTGCGTTTAGTTCCTTGGACACCAGAAATCAGCCTGTGAGCCAATTATCAGAGTTTACTAAAACTAGCTCATTAAAGTCGTTTCTGAATATCTCATCAGGCCGTAATCATTTTATGTCGTGATGCGGTACCGAGAGGCCCGGTTACGAGTTACATTTAGCACCCCCCACTGGCGAAGCTGTAAAAAGCTCGTTATTGCAATTTGTCTCACATGTCGACTCAATCGTATCGTGTGCAATCGTTCGATTTCTGATCGATTAACTCGTTCCGTTAGAATCACTATTACTGTCACTAGGAAATAGACGCTCGAAAAATTGCGTGTACGAGCTATATAGCCACGGGGAGTATTTTTTTTTCTGAGCTTCAGTTATGTGTTCCACTGTGAGTTTCTGCTTCTCACCATCTCGTCTGTGCCGTCACTGTCGGGCGATTTTGATATGATCAGTCATTGCCAGAATGGGCCCACTCTGTCCTAGACAATAATCGTGCATGCTTATATAATTTATATCTAACCTATTAAATATTATAGCGTATGACCTACTTATCTGACAAAGTTTACCGAAGCAGTTGGTATGTTAGCTGCACTACTCAGGATGCTGCTCAGGATTGGGCGTGAGGCAGAAAAGCAGCGACGGTTGAGGCTGTATGCACAATGCAAAGCTTAGTTTGTTTTTCTTTTGAAAAGGTAGTTAATACGATTCTATACAAGCGGCCGTTACGATTAAGAGTCAAGGCTCCCAATCTAAGCGAGTATGACACGAGACTTTCTGCAGGAGGGAAAACGCTTTCTAATCTTCTGACGCTTTTATAAGCGCCAAATTCAACTCATAGGGCGATCTGCGTGTTACGTGCATGATCTGAGACATATTCTGAGAGCTACAAGCATTAACTATTCTGATTTTGTCTTTTCTTTCTATTCTGACGCTTCAGCAATGGTTCGACAATAACCAGCGTCCAGACCCGCTCGGATCTTTTGGACTCGATACGGTTACGCGACGATGAGCGTCGTCTGGTCGAGAGGTGTTTCACTAGAGACTTCGATGTTAGGAACGGGTCTGAGCTGTTGCCCAGTTTTGAGTCATCTGGTTCAGGCGGTAATGCTACTGAAGTGCTCGTAGTTGATCCGAACTCATCGAAACCTTGTCGAAAGTGGGTATTCCCACAGGATGTCCATAAGCGAACTATGATTGAAGAGGTAGGCCGTCGAAAGTATACAATACATTATACTCGCTTTTTTTGTTTCATTTCTGATAAGAAATAAGAGAAAATGTGGACGTTTCTTTTAAGAAATTAGAGTAATTCACCTGATATACTATGCAATGAAAAATGATATTGATAATCAATATTCAAATCCCTGATTCAAATTTTTCCGGTTAGGTGGCTTTACCAACTAACACTGGAACCTTAGTAAGCCCTGCTTCGCTTTTCAAGACGCTGATTCGAACTAAATGACAAAGTCCACTTCTTCAAAAGAAACTGGCTTGATAAACAAACCGATCCATCTTGACATGGTATCTCTGAAAAAATCTTTTTTGGTTAGTTCCCAGCACTACTGCGCCTAGTTCCCAACTTGGACAAACTCACGTATGCCTAAATTTAGTGGCCGGACACTTCATCCCTCCACTATCACCGGTACGAAAGATGTGGTATACAAACATTGGAGAAGATAACTGATTTACTTGTGTGTTTCAGTGGGAGTTAGTCTGCGACGATTCATGGCTGTCGTTGTTCCCACGGGGCGCACATCTCGCTGGTCTTCTTTGTGGCGCTCTATTTTGGGCGCTTTTAGCCGACCGCTGGGGTCGAGTTCCATCGATCGCGTTGGCCAACGTCCTGCACGTCGGGGCGTCGGTGGCGGCTGCATTCGCTCCGTCATGGGAATATTTCGCCCTTGCGAAAGCTGGATCGTCGTTCGGTCTTGGAGGGATGCTCATCGCGTTTATTCTGCGTACGTAATGATTGGCGCAATATTTTAAAAAGGCGGAGAGCGGGGGAGGTGACAAGGTAAACACGATCTATGCGTATGGCAATAAGATTCGTCCAATGCACACGGGCACAAGTGTGACGGTAATGGCCAGATGAACGGAGCAGTTTTACCGGCACTCAAGTTTTTCAAAGCACCTGTTTCGTTACGTCTTCTAGTTACACCTTTCATCTATAATTGTACATAATTAATAACTCCTAAGTACGACAAAGATAAAAAAAACAACTATATATCGGAAAAGCATGAACTAAGCAAAGGAAGATTCCACTCACTTCCCGCAACCATCATTTGTACGAGGTTTATTTTTTCAATATTTTTTGCGTTGACGTGCTTTAGTATCAACGCAGGTAAGACAGTTGTATTACAAAATCACGCATGCTAAATCCATCTACTAAACGAGTGAGACAGCTATCCTAGTCGATGTCAAGGTCATAGCAGCGTCTGCATTCAGTTTTCCCGCCAAATTTCAAAATCGGGTCATTTGTTATTGACTGTGGCAGCGATGTGTACACGGCGGCAGAGTGTTTTTTGCACCGCGCTTTCTCATGCACATATTTGCTTATTGAATACTCAGCCGCCGCGTGGCGGTTGCAACGGCAATAGTGAACGGTTTCGGAAACGTCTGTGTGTCTAAATGACACAGTATCGTAAATCAATGGCCTGTGCGGCTCGGCTGATCTCCGTTTCCGGCTCGGGAAGCGAAGTCCGCGCAAGGCCTCCCAATCATATCTTCCATACCAAGATTATCACGAGATGCATTTTAGCCCGCGACATGCAAAGCATCTTAAGGTGCTGTCATTGCAACTGCTGCAGACGGCAGAATGAACGCGGGTTATGCGGATGCGTTTGACGAACCCACGATGATGTTAAGGCAGCCGGTCTGCTTTTGCAAGTACGAAATTGAACGGCCAATGCTTAACGGTCGACTACGGATGACTGACTCTAACGAGCCCTAGCAATTGCCCAGGTATCGTGAGGAGGTAGTAGTGTGTAATGCGTAAATTTGGCACGTATAGCACCCGATAGTAGTTCACTGCTGTGCGACTACATAGAAGGGATAGTGCAAAGCAATGAATAATAAAAAAAAAAACGGTAAAATCGTCGGTTATGTGATCGATGCGTGTTAACCTTTAACACTAATCGCGTTACGTTAGTTCGATTGTTGTTTTGCTGTTTCAACAGCGACGACGACGATATGCGGCGCCGAATCGTCTTCGATGAAAAGGCCAGTCAACAAAGAAAAACTGTTGATTTGCGCGCAAAAAAATCGCTATAGTCGACAGGCTAGAATTCAAAACAAGCGTTTCAACGGCCGACTGATAAGACGCTGCCATAGTTGACTAAGGCATGGGGCTAATCGAGGGCGTTTGCGATACAATTGAAAAGAAACGGCAATTAGCCACAGCGCACGACGTTGGAATGGTTTTGTAATAATAGTAGTTGGGAAAGCCCCCACGACAGCGAATTGGGAGTAGCGTGTTTACTTGCTAAACTTACAGTACCTAGTGGTCGAGGTTCGAATCGGTGGGTAGACACTTTGCGTTTTATACTGGGATACAGTCGTCTGAAGTAACACATAAAGACTCAAGAAGCGGAGATTAAACACGAAAGAATGATGCGGGTTAGAATAGCGGTTATTTTTCTTTAACAGCAACAACAGAGTCGAAGCTAATGTTAACGATGGTTTCTCAGTTACTTTGTTGGCTATAGAATTGAATAGTACTGAATGATATTCTAAAGTATTCAATAGCGGCTAGTTGAAGGTTGCAGAAATCACGCTTATGGAATGCTATTTCACACCTGGAACGCGGTGTCAGTATAGCACCGGTGTTAATGGTGACGACGCTGCTAAACGCATAAAGATAATGCCAATATCATACAATGTTGACTGTATAGACGACGAATTTCATAACGAAGAAGCAAAGAAAATGAAGTTCAACTTAACTTATGGGTATCTTACTTTTGATAAAATTCTAGGTAGTCAAAAGCATCGGTAAGTAGACGGGTGACATTAGGCAATTTTTTCGAAACAGCTAAGCAAATCGCTCTAGCTTCTTTTTTTTTTTCTTCGACTTATGATGGATACCCCACAACAATAGATGGACTATCGAAAATCATTGTGCAACATATAAAGCAGATACTAACTGCGGCCAAGCAGCTTCTCATGCGTTAAAATTCCACTAGACGCCCAACGATTTACTGTAAAAAATCATTACGGAACGATCCTGTCTAGTTTGGTTTACCATAGCATGGCAAAGTGTTGCTTTTTCTACTTCGAGAGACGAACATTTAAATAAATTAACTTCAGCTATTACGACGTCAAATTCGCTTCATCTTTGTCTCAAGACACTCATATGATCACAGATTTCCACATATACATAGATATATGTTGAAAAAAGTTGCTGCATCAGCTACAAGGCCAGGTCTCATGATTCTGGTTTTAGCGGAATGGCGATAAATGTTATGGCAGTTCTACCGCCGTTCTGTGTCTCCACCTGCCTTTCTAGCTACAGCCACTAGACTTCTCCTCTTTGCCCTCTGTTATTTTTTTTAGACGTGAAATAAACGTAAAAAGCACCACTTTTCACGCAGACTTTTTAAAACAAGCGTACGTTTGCAGTTATGGATGTAATTAAAGTAAGGAGCAAATAATAGTGGCGTACTGTTGACGCCTAGGAGGATCAGCTTAGAGCAATTTGCTAACTGATTTACTTTTACATCGGGTCAATATCTAATGGAACATTTCACCTTTGCTCTATTGCTGATCTGCGGGTGAGCATTTCTTAAGCAACGCTCGAGAATCAATGGACCGAGTATCGGAATGTATGATGTTATTAGATGAAAAGAGCCGTCAGATCTATAATACCCTAGACTATATCACTGCTGTATTGTTTCTATGAAGTTGAATCATTGATCGCAAACCTTTCTGCGTAGGCTGATCAGGCCAAATTGTGTTACGAGACGGACAGCGAGCATACATGTAGAAGGAGTCCGCACGTGTCACCCTCGTAAAAAGGAGTATCCTACTTGAACCTATCATTGCTACTTCTTGATGAGGGTAGTTTATATAGACAGCTCTTAACTCGTACATGCCCGTCACTTCAAGGATAAACGTGTATCTTTGAAACAATCTCATTGCTAGATCTTGGCACCTATATTACCACACTGTGTGCGATGTTAGTAAAAGCTTTCTCGTTATTGTTACTCATGTACTCTAATCAACATACACCTTCTAAATGAGTTTTTAATATACTGAGCAAATGTTTTTCTTGTTGTACGTCCGCTACGTACAGTATTTCAGATCCAGCCGTTCGAGGTAACTTACGCGTTACTTCAGACGGCTAGCACCCCGCACGAAATAAAGTGTACCTACGACCGAGTTTGAACATAGCTTAACACTTGTGTTTAAATCGGCTTAGCAAAGACGTTACCCACTGCGCTATCATGGGAACTGCCCAATTTTATCTATTTAGTTTGAATGAAGTGGTCCTGCTGCAGAGAAAGCGGCTTACATTAGTTGTTAGTTCTGATTTTATGTATACATATCGTTTGTGCATTTTCAATGTATTGGTCATTTGCAGAATTGGAGACTTTGGTTGCCCACATGCGCTGTTGGGTTGTAGCCGGTATGTTCCTGAGTTGGTCATTGGGTCTCGTGGCGCTGCCAGCGTCCGCCCTGTGGCTCTCACCTAATTGGCGTTACCTTCAACTGGCGATCACCGCCTTTTCTGTTGTGCTCCTTCCTCTATTGCTGTTAGTATCTCTAGGTTCTTTAGCTTTTTCTTTGTTGTTGTAACAACAAAGGTATATCATTTTATACTATTCATATAAATATATCGTGTCCAGCCGTGGTCTTACTAACTATAATTCGTATGTGTATTAATTAATTTCGTCTGTTCCTGTTCTGACACAGTGCTGCGTGAGTAGTACTAGCAGAAGTAATTGCATTCCTGGTAGTACAGTTGACTCGTATAAATGATACGATCTATAGCAGAAGCAGCAGGATTATCATTTATCAACAATTTGATGCGTATTATTATTATGAATATAACTTTGAATCAATATCTGGATCGTTGCAGATTCTTCCGTGAAAGTCCTCGATGGCTTCTGACATCAGGCCGTTACGAGCGCGCGGAGAAGTGTATAACTGCTATTGCCAGTATCAATGGCAAGGTGTTCTCAGAGATGGATGCAATGCACCTGCGTCAGAGCTACCTCGATCATGAGACTCTTTACGGTGGCGCTATCGGTGATTTCCGACGAGATAGTGGTGGCATGAAACAACGCAGTATGTTCGAACCCAGTGTTCGCTGCAATACCATCTGCACGTTCATCATTATGTAAGTCCTGCACGTTCATAATCGAAGTACGTATTGTTTGCGTAGCTTGGCATTAGGCTAATGGAAGTTTACTAACAATTTCATGATTGTAAAAAACTTAGTTCTTAAGTATTCGATGATGAACGCTTTAGTTTCATTGTGCCTTGCAGGGCTATTCTTGGCTACCTGTTGTACCTGGGTAAGTCTCCAACGCAGACAGTCGCCGATCCCTATGGCTATATGGCGCACCCTCGTGATAACCTGTTTTGGGGCTATGTCGTCTGGTGCGTAACGGAAGTGACTGCTGCAGTGTTCGCCATGTACGCGCTACGGTTCTGGAGCAGAAAGTGGACTGCGATATTCTGCTACTTACTGTTGGCGTGTATTTATGCAGCCACTTATCTCGTGCCTCAATATATTGGTAAGAATACCTTGACTTTTTGCCGTTTGTATGAAACTACGCTTCCCTTTCACAGCTAACTTGATCGGTGCCTTGTGGTACTGGCTGTGGTGAACTAGTCTGTTTTTTAGATCTCAAACATTACAGAGACAAAAACTAAATGAAACTTGTATTACATTTGGGAACGTACTTAAATCCAGCGTCGTTCCATCCTTAACGATTGCCGCTGTTCAAACTTCAGATCTGTGCTTCTGCTCTGCTCTGCGTGTTAGGTGATCATGTCTGGTATGGGGCAGGTTTAGCAATGGCTGATCGCTTTGTGGCATCAACTATTCTTGCCATCGTATCGATCTATTGTGATGAGGTGTTTCCGACAACTGTTCGAGCATTAGGCTCCGCAAGTAAGCATGTCTGCTTCCGCTTTGCCCTTCTCGCTGAGCCTTTGTTTCGTGATATGGTAAGAACGTATGGTCATCGAAAAGCGCGAGCGGCCATCTTTATTTGACCATATGAATATGTGTCTTATGATTGATTACGTATCTGATTCTAGGGTAACAATGTGTCGGAGTAAAGCGATCAGGTGAAAAGACCCTAGTCGTTAACAAATCAGAAAATAGAAAACTACTTCGGTTAGCGTGTTTCCGCAGTCATCTAAGCCGGCACACAAGGATAATTGAAAAAACTATACGGACTCAATATAAGAAAAATATTTTTCATACTGCTTAAATCACAATCAGCGAATTCAGATTATTTCAATTTCCTCCGCCCAGTCTGCGTTTCACTCGACTGAAATCTGCTGCGTTTTTTGAATCTTATAGATGCCAACGGACGATCTGCCTGAGGCTAGCCCTGTCATTAATGGTACCCTATGCCTTCTCTCGATTCTTTTGCTGATCATTTTACCCGAGACATACAACAAACCACTGGCAGACACCGCTTATGACGTTTCAACGCTCAGGTAAGCAGACCCCTGCCTATTCCTGCTCGACGCATGGCCTCTTCGAGCAGCCCCTCTTGGTCATCTGTCAATTTCGTATCCGACGCAAACTGAACCTATCTCCCATTGCTTCATTCAGCCTGTATTTGCGAATCCGTAGACTACTCATTGCTGTCTTTTCACCTCTACGTAACCTAAGCTGTTCAACCTCCTACAAGTTTACTCTTTGCCCTGTCCTAGGTGGCATGGCCAGAGTAACTTACGATATAAACTCACCCATAGTTTTCCAAAGAACAAAACACTCGATTTGTTTCGTTGGTCTTCTACTGCTGCTGCTGCTGCTGCTGCTGCTATTTCTCCGTGCCCTTCTTCATTTAATTGCTGCCAGTTTTGCCTTTGAACCGCTGCCTCTTGTCGTTACCTTCGACTCTGTCGTTCGAGGTCCGTTTTAGCGTAACAAATACTTCGATCAGCCGGTGTCCATCGCTCTCTCCGTCCAATACCGCTACTACCACTACTACTACTGCTGTTACTAGATACAGTCGCTTTTCGGTTGTTCTTTTGTATCCTTTCTTTCTACCTGATGTGGCCGAGCATCGTGCTGTGCGGTATCGTACACTGAGGATCGTGGCTGTCAATGGAGTCCATCGGTCGTCGACCACCATTGATAACAAGTGCTATCGATAGAAAATACTGACACTTCATCACTCTCTTCCACTCTCCAATGCGCAAGCTCCATTGTGAAGCACCTTTTCGACTCTGACCTAAATCTTAAAGGATCCTCGTCATTGGAATGTCGATTATGTTGCCGCCAATTATGCTGGTGACTCCCCGTCAAAGCCATGTTGGTGGCGACAAATTTCAGCCCCTACCACAAACTACATTGACTGCAACTTTCTAACGTTTCTAAGGACAACCTTCTCCCATAGTGCTCAATGAATGATTTAGCCAACTATCAATCTGGGACTCATGCAGGCCATTGCTGTATTCACACAGTTCTGCTCAAAAAAATAGGGTCCCCAACTGGTTCTGTTCTGGATATCGCGTTACTGTGTATGCAAATGGATAATCATGTTGGTCTGCAGAACCATCTGTCCCTTGCATTTTTCGCTGGGATTTTTGGATATTCATTTGGTTCTTATTCAAGGAGGAAAGAGACGTCGCGAAGTTCGCGGGAAACCCAAGTGAATGCAGGAACCGGAGGCAGTGGCGGCGGCGGCGCTGGAAGCAGCAGAGCGAGATACTACGCCGATTACATTGACGAGTACGACGCGTCGACCCTTGATGCATTTGCAGAAGAGCTTCAAAGCAGAGCCAGTCTACGACTTTGAAGAAAGTCATCATCAGTGAAATCGGCTCCGGCACCACGGCAAGGAACAACAACAACACCCACAAGAACTCGAAGAACATAGACAACAAAAGATCAACGGTTAATAAATATCATAAAAAAATGGGGTCGCCGGTACTTGCACAAATGCCGCGTACTCGAAAACCGCGTCTTCTTGAAAGGGGCACCGCCACAACTTCGTTCATGTACGACAATCTGGATTTCACGCACACCAAATTCTAGTGTGAGCTGAATTCTATATAAAAAAAAAAATGTAATAGAACAAGCTAGAACATATCATTTCTACCTATAATATATATATATTACAGGTAGAAATATATATATTATCACCACAACCAAATACGACAGAGACTACCAACGTACAGCCAATCTTTATTCATCGCGCTAGAACATGGCATCAACGCTTTATCGATTTCGAAGTGTATTATATACGTCCCATAGCTTTTTAGCACTATCTTAAAGGCCAACAAGCTATTAATAAAACTACGTGATAATATGTAAAGCATCCATTCACGTAAAATGTTCACGACCGGTGAAACGTCGAAGAGAATACAAGAAACGTTCTGCCTATACAAAATGAGGATCAGTGAGGTTCAGGCGCGTCACCAACCTTCCGATTTGATTGTTGTGCTGTATTAGTATCATATGATTAGTCCATTTGTAGGTTGTCGGCACGCACATACAGATACGACCGTTGTTGAACACTAAAATAAGCAATGATTCAATATACATAGCATATGCATATGGACGATGTGAGGCGCGATGCGCCCATTTCGGTTCCTAGTCGCAAATCAAGTGCCAACATCTTCACGGCAAAAAATAAACGGTGATAACGATATTTGTGGCAGAGGTACGTCTGGTCTAGCCGCTGTCACGACCCATTTACTTTCGACAACATAATACACTGTTCATAGATCATCACCTGCGAATTGCGTTACGTTCGATGGGGTTCACCTACTATTGGAGGGGGGCAAAATAGAAGAGAAAAAAAACATCCTCTAGAATAAATGGTGGACCGCGAGTGTCCGGGCCATCGGTGTAACGTCATCAATCAAATGATGCTACTTCCGATGCCGAACCAGTACAAATGCTTATCAGACACAGTAAACCTTGACGCGGTGTCCGTTCATGCTAGACAACTCATGCTACCCGCTGGGCACATAACGTTTCAAACAGCACATAGCGTTTCAAATAGAGAAAATGTCGCCAATCATTTAGGAATTGATCATCAACGACGCATGGGCTAGTAGGTAGGTGTTCGTTCACTGGTTTTTTGCGTCTCCCTTTAACCTGCCATTATTGTTCGGAAATTATTACTATTACTAGATAATATTAGTATGACTGATAGTATATTTGTGTTAGTGACGAAAACTTCATCGTTTTGAAACAGGAAAAGTATTGCCTAACTGATGAATATGCTACATAAATAGAAAAGATGCTGTTAGCTTATTGCCTGACGAGTGTGTATAGTACTTTGAGTAGTAATAGGTTTTTTTTTTTTTTTTTTTTTGTTCTCGTTTACCTGTGCCTCATCTGTACATAAAACATCGTGACTGTTTGACAATAAATAATTCTATGATCATTAATGTTGTTGATGAATGATATGAAAGCATCGTTTTCTAACATAAACAAAAGTCTGTTATTATTGTCATCACGACACACCAAATACAAGGAGTGAGTGTCATAGCTATACTATTAAGTAGGTGGAAATAAAAGCAAATTATTGTTCGATCAATCATCAATCGCAGCCGTTTACCTTTCAAGGATACAACAAGTAGCTATTGTTAGATGAAAATCGGCCAATGATCATTGTGTGTGTGAAGTGAAGAACGCGACCCAGCTTTCGTAAAACAGGAGACATAACTTCTTATACTATTAGCTATAATAATAATAATAATAAGTCCAGGGCGTTACTTCAACTCGACACATTGTCTAGCCCACTCTTTGGCATGGTCGAATTTGCCCTGAATATCATGCTTAAGCATCGAAGTGGGTTTATACTTTTAGGTTCTGCAACGATATCTAGGTACAATAGGTATTATTGTTGTTATTCCACTCTGGAATAGCTTGTGCTGTTTAGGTCAGTATCGTTTAGACGAGTTACATCCGACCCAGTAGAAATCATATTATACTGGTGAAATTTAAACCTAACCTCTAATTCTTCGTCGCTCATAATTTCATATAGTGCACATAGATGTTTTAAGCAACTCCAATAGGTCTGCAGGGAAAATCCTTGTAATTTATTTATGTTGTGGTATGAGTTCATTTAATAAATTTGCTAATTTACTTACATATTATTGCATTCTGATAGTGGTCTTAGTTATTTGCAGATGATAGCCGTATATATCCTCTTCACGAACTTAAATATGCCAGCAGCTAATATCACTTGCGCTATCTTTTCAAAGCTTAGGTCGAAGTAGATAAAAGTGCCGGGAGCTAGGAACCAAAAGGCCCTCGGCTTTAATCGGGCTGAGCACATGCAGATAGATTCGGTCTCATAACGCAACGGTAGCAAATCTTCTCATAGCGTAAACTGATCTTCGCTTTTTTTTTGTTTCGTATGTATAGTCGTAAGTTGCTGAGCGCAGATGCTCGTCCCCTTAATGCTTCTGGTCGGGTTTCCATCGATGGTCGGTCTTCTACTTGCTCTCATGCTCGTTCATATTTTTTAGTTAAAGGCGAAAAAAGAACGCTGTTCGTCTTGTTAAAATATTTTTAACGATTTGATGGTTACATAAGAAATTGATTGGCTGCATTGGCTGAATAGATGAGATGGGTGTGAAACAAAGCCATGCTTCCGAACATCTAAGTAGCGAAAAGTCGCTTAGACAACAAACAATAGCAAATAATTACTTTGCCCTATCCCTAACAGGGCAGAACAGTTTTCATGCCAGTAATTATCTGTATGCACGCTAAAGTTGATCAGGGTGCCAATACCACTTACGCCATCGTAACCGCCGTTTTTAAAGAATTTTGCAATATAACCTCGCTTAATCTATCAAAAAACCACTAAAACACGAAACCTTAGGTTAGATCTCCTGACTGTCACGGTAACGGAGAAGATTCGATGATATCAAATCGTCACCATTGTAGAGTGTCCTTTTGCCTACATGGGTTCTTCGGATGGGATGTACGGACGCTACAAAACGAAATAGTACTATCATAAAAATGGCTACCGCGGGTCTATTCATCACTTACTGAATGCTGCTTGTTGTTACTAGATCTATTCTCATGAAGTTCACTACATATTAAGAATAGACATGACGAAAGAAACAGAAACATATGATTGGTACTGTCCAAGTTGTAGCGGGTCAAACGATGATTTCTTAAAGGGTATACAATAAGAGAAGCTATAAATAAAACCTTAATTACGTCTACGATTTCGATCTAAATAGATACGGTAGGAGGTTCTCTTTAAAACTTCAGACTTCAAAGATACAATACATTGATGGGTAGCACTATATAGATAATGCTAACTAAGTAAATAATTTGCCTACACTCTTCTAATTTGCTGTTGCTAGAGGCAGGTTTAGGAATCCTCCATCGTAGCGACGTTCCCCGGAGCGCTCTCTTCTGGAGCCTCTGGCACAAGATGTCCGTCTACGAGCAGATTATGTATAATACCTTCATGTCGACTACCACTGCTTATACCAGCAATGACCCCGGCGCGATGACCCACCTAAAAATATCAGTTATTTACACTATGAGTTTTGCGTCCGCCATCGCCGCTAGGTATTCCATCAGACGAATAGCTCTCAACAGGTAACGAGATGTGTCTATGCCCAGACTCAAACCTAGACCACAACATGTCCCGAAGATTAGCGGACACGTTGTGGTCTAGCTTCGAACCCAGCATGGAAAGACTTCGTTTCGTGCCGAAAGCCAGCCATCTTATGTATTACCGGTGTCAAACTCGAAGCATAAAAATTCCCTTGACCTAATCAATACCAGTCTCCAATCTAAGCTCGATACACACCTGAAAGTGCGTCTCCGTTCCTTCTGAAACAAATTCAGCGACCGACTCGACCTACAATTTTACAGAAAAGCAAACGTCCGAAAAATAGGTGAGACAATGAAAGCTTCTTCACGGGCCATGATACGTTCTTGTTCTATTTATTTGGCATATCTATCGTTGTTCGTGTTACGCGTGAAGGAACATAATTTGTGAATAAGTGTAGGCTAAGAAGGCAGATAGCACTGAGCAGGATAATATGAAATGGAGTCCGCGTTATCTTAGCTAGCCGTAAATTGGCTCAGTGTGAGGGCAGTGTGATTGCAATGGCACGCAAAGGGCCTGTGGCGCTGCGAACGACGTATCACGAAATCCGTACAGATCTAAGTCTACAGCAATAAAGTTTCAAATCTTACTTTCTATATACACTGTGACGCGATTCGCGTAAACTCAGTTATTCTAAAGACACGATCTATCTAGCTAAGAAATATCGATAAGATGAATCGTACGGATGCTTAAGCGATATTTATGAGTATGAAAGTCTAGCTGAGAGGCTAGTACCGCGCTTACAAGCATATGAGATGAGGCTAAAGTTACTCAAAGACTATACAGTGTAAACGGTATGTGTATGGTTAATAGGAACGATGTAAGAACAGCTTAGATAAAACAAGCTTTCCTTTTAGCACTGTTGACAAATATAACTATTTTCTGTGCCGCTACTTTCGGGTGGCGCATGAATAACAATATCATTGTCGGGAGTTGGTATAAATCGGCCACATTTGAACTGTCGCATAGGTTTGAAACACCTTTTCGCCATTGACGTAGACATCCATCGTGTCTCTCTCGAGGGTTACCCTAGTAGGCGGCGCCTCTGGATGGTCCGTATAAATCCAGGTTTTGAGAATTTTCGACTGGCGCTCTCTAAACGACTCTATTTCTTTTCCGTCCACAAATAACCGATATGAGTAGCTGTAAAGAAAAGTTGGTTACATAAAATTAACTTGAAGAAGTCACCAAAACACCAGTTTCCAAAAATAAATACATCCACTGCTCTATTCAATGCTCTAAGACCTAAGCATTTCTAGCAAGGCTTGGTACTAGTGTTACAACTTTCGCAGTGCTAAGCTAAGGACAAACTTTTACTATTATTACAAGCTTAGGCCTTTCTATTATTATGTTTCATTTGGCTATAGTCTCGATGTAGAGTTTCTCAATAATCGAACTCCCTTCAAATAAAGTTTTCAGCTGTCTTCAGTCTGCATAACAGAGCTAAAATGCTATTTTGAGTTCTACGTCGCCGTCAGGTATTACTTCAGACGAGTGTGACAGCTCTATCGGTTCGGCATTGACCCATCGGAAGTGTCGTTACAAGAGTATTTTTCAGAAATATTTTTTTCATAGAACAGATCGAATTTAGTTCGGGGATAACTCCTCGTCTGTCTAGGAACGGCATTACGTCGGGAAAAATGTCTCTGGTTTTGCTAGAACACATACATTAATTGATTAAAATAAAAACAAAATAATACTCAATCCAATTTAATGGCAAAATACGCATTATTGCTACCGAAAAAGCTAGCAATGTATCTATGCTCAGCGAATTCACAAAAAGTTATGAAAACTAGTCAACTTAACAAAAATCAGTTGTTAACAGCAAAAGGACCATATGTATAGCGTCGATATTTTATCAGGCTGTCGGCAAATAGATGGGGCTAACTGCGCGTAAGCCTCCGGACGCGAGATACGTGTAACCCAGACACCACAGCTACTTCTGTTGATTTTAGGCTCGCGTGAGAGCTCAGTGAGTAATCTATTTGTTTGCTAATCTCGAGCACGCGTCGTGGTCTATGCTCGAACGCAGGCATAGACAGACAGACTTCGTTCCGTGTTCGGAGCCAGCCGTATGATCCAATACCTAACGATAGCAGACACCAATCTCGAAATATAGAACCAATCATAAATTCGAATTTCATCAGATATTGACAAGCGTAGCTTCAATGTAATGCTTAGTGGAGAAAAGAAGATAGAGCTGCACGTTTCTATGTTTTGTGCCTACTACTATCATGGAAAGTAACCGCATGGGCTAGATTGCCATATTGCAGGACAGCACGCAACATTGTCTTGTAGCAAGGAGTTCGTTTGCATTACCTGTACGGTAAATAATTTTCTAGTGATACATAAAATGGCCTGAAGTTAGAGACGAATGGATATGGCTGTACTGGAGAGAGCCCTGAGGCGTCACAGTTAATCAAAGTTATTCATTGTTTTGTGTTTTTCATTCCAGCTTGAAGTAGAAAAACGGGCGATATTTCATTTATATATTGTCTGTTGCGTTTTTCGGGTAAATTTATGATAAATGGTTTTTAATGTAGAAAAAACAAACGGTTACCGGAAGCAAAAAATCTTTGTATGCAATTGGATCTATGGTCTTTTTTTGAATGATAAAACTGTTTGCACCACAAAAATCGTACTATATAGATCTGTTAGCTGAACCATTAACGACTGTTTCGACGTCTCTGCTGGATACAAACTACCAGGTTAGAGGTAACTAGCGAATGCCGAGCAGATCATTTGACAGAAAAGATGGCGATCGGAGGTGTATCGGCCTTCGGAACCGAAAAAAAAATGGCGGCTGATATCATACCAATATTCCCGCAGAAATTGGAAGTGTATTTGTACACTTTTTTTTTTTTTTTGCTATAGGGGTCAAGTCGTCGATAAGCACCAGTATGGGAAACGATACTTTTATAGCGTCCCGTGGTTGCTCTTGGCGGGGCGGGTCAGTTTACTGAGTATAGATGATGAGTGACAAGGAATTATTAGCTAAGTTAAAGTATTACCTTGTACGACTGATCCTCGAAGCTGAGACGAAGGAGCTAAGCAATTATAATGAATCAGCTCAATGTTGGGCCGTGGCTCTGATGACAGGTCTCGCGAGTTTTACAGAGTACATTATCGACTAACTCATTGTAGCATGGTACTCATGGTGTTAGGCGCAAAATTAAGACCCGTTTAATGGCACATTACTAATATGCTTCAAGTTACCATTATGGTTAGAGTACACCGGTAACCAAGGTTTTTGTCCAACTCATTTACGCATCCAGGTTTGCTCATAGCCACTTTAGTTTGCCAAATCAAAACTTTGAACTTAGTTGCTTGATCTTACTTAGTAAAGTAGATAAAAAGCGTGCGATATAGTTGAGTGTACAAAAGTTCAATCTTGAGTCATTTTCATTTTGTTATCTGCGACAAAGAGCGGCGTCACTTGTGCGTGTGAGATACATAAATAGACTCATTTTAATATTAAATAATAAAAAAAAAAGTAAAGCAACTACTATATCTACCCTGGTTACTAATGGCTGGACACGTAAAATATAGAGTAGAAAAAAAAAGATATAAAATACTCTACCATGAAATTTATCGCAATCAGACAAAGGACCATTTGTAATAGTTAGCTGCTTTTTATAGGCCAGACATAACGTAGAGTTTAGCTTGGTTTATTTGTAGCATTAAATTATTAATATCATTAAATCATTATATTGGCTATAACCAAGTGAGCTAACGTTATTAACTGGAGTTTGCTACCAACCTGAAGCCTCCTACGGCTTTGATAGAAATGATGCACTTATGTCCCAATATGTCAAAGCTTTCCTCGCCAACAAGCTTAAAAAGCCAGTGTTTTCGTAACACCTCGAGTCCATTAACGTACACAACACGTTTACCCGTTGCACTTCCGTGTTCGAATTCGACTCGGTAAGCTTGGCCAACCAAAGGAACCTCCCACGAAGCCACAACGTCGGACATATCGAGGCCACTCAAAAAGTTCTTCGGCCTACTATTAATTAGCCATTACAGCCTTCAGTGAATCGTGCAACGTAATCTCTACTAACGGACCTACTTGTACCTGTTTACCGTTATAAAACAGCTTTACAATCCTTCCCGAGTCTAACTCGACCGGTACAGCATCGCGTCCAACGTCTGAACGATTCTATTCTTTAAGTCAATTTTTGTCAATGGCATATAATCGGCAACCCTCCGGACTTCACGCAAGCAGATCTGTGTAGGTGTAACGTGCCGACGCAGAGCAGCAATCAACTACGCTTTTTGGTCCCAGTAGCCGGCGAACGATATTGAGAGCGAAAACCAAGCCATTTATTCACCACAATTCGTAGTAACGGTAGCTTTAGTAGAAGATAGCTAGTGTCACATCTTTCCTCCAAACCACGAAAAAACGTAGGATAATTGGGCGCGCGGTTGAGTGACTGCTTTCATACGGAATTCGTTAATCTAGCTTCTATAGGCCTGTCCTGACCCGGGGCTGGCCAGCTGTCTCGTGGTCCTTCAGAATGCCTGCTTTTTCGAAACTTCGAATGTAAGGGAACTGTCGTACTCTGTCGTCATGGTAGCCGACGAAAACATTATGACATGTGTGAGCCGGCGTTGCAGCCAGCGTCAGCGATTGTGGAGGTTCGCTGTTATTGCTCGTGCCGTCGACGGTCGCCAGCACCTATCTTTGTTCGTCTTTCGAATAATAGAGGGTTCAGAGAGGAAAAACGGTTGTGACCTCGGCGGCGTCTACGACAATAAGCATCTGCCGTCGATTTGCCGTCCGTTTGGAATGACACAAAGTTTCTGCATTAATTGTTCTCTGACGATTGTTTGAAAGAAACTATGATATTGAGTGTTCGAGAAAACACCTGCTATTTTCTGCGATTTCCGTACCTGAATGAAAAATATTGTGACAAGAGTATAGCTTTCGTAGAGGTTTACTTTCAACCCGTAAAGGGCCCGTTGACTTGAATTAATCAAAGTTTAGCCGATACTGTTTTTCCAAAATTTTCTAAAATTAAACAAAGAAAAGATTTATTAAAACAACTTCATACTTGGCGGAAGCTATAATAAATCCCCTATTTGTTCTTATACGAAACCTAGATTTCAACAAGCTTTTAAGTAAGTTTCATACACGATCCACTGTCGACAATAGCGTGAGAAAGGCAGGGACGAGAACGCTAAAGACGAAATCGACCTATTGATGCTGGAGTGGGCGCCTTGTACGTAGATCAGACAACCTTCGATCCGCCGGATAACACATGAGATGTGTGAGTATTTGTTTCGCTTGAGAATACATATAAAATATGCTTATAGTGAATCGTTCACGCCACAGGCTCATCGGTACGCGAACGTACAACGATGGAAGGAAGGTGATCGAAGTTTAGTGATCCAATAAGCATTCGTATTGGAGATACATTCTAATGTATGACACCTTGTGTTCATGCTTTCTACATGTAAAATACATATATCATCATATTCGTATTCTTTATGGTTGGCTAGAAATGATACCATTACAGATTTAGTATAGATTCTGTTTAAGCGTTTAAGTTTATTATTAATAGCGGCTAACTATGAAATCATTACTTAGTTAACTTTAGTTTATGGGTAGATTCGAGTTGTGTCCCCCTTTAAACATCAATAGAGATTAGTTCTGGGTATTTCAACACCGGGCTTATCGTACATATATGATCCGTTTTACCATATTATGCTCTCTGTCATTGTAACGGTAAAGGGAAGTGGTTTTTGATAGAACAGCTTGTTGTTACCCGTCAGGTATTACTACCAGCAAAGTCTCAACGCTGCTAGACACTTGGCGTGCTATTGCTGTCATCTGTCTGCTATTGGAAATGAAGTTACTTATGTAATTATAACCGCATATATGCATGTACATGCGCTTCGTACAATACGATTATTTGCGTATTTTAGCTTTGTAAGAATAGAATATTTCTTCGCCGTTGTATAACGCTTCATCGGGGTCCCTCCGGGGAGGTTCTAGTTTCGTGAGGTTGTTGGCTGTGTACGCCACACATTTCAACTGCCATTCACCAATATCCTCGTTCCAGGTTGCGTTATTTTCAATCGCTTGCTAAAAACAATAAAAAAACAAAGCCGGTGAAATAATAGTATAACTAACCATAGCTCAGGCTTTCAAATCAACGGATTACGATTGATCGTTTGCAGTATATATCTAAGCTTGACTGGGTCTATTTAAACAATATTACTGCCATAGAAGTAAATCATTAAACGCTGTCCCAAACGGTCGGTCGATGGCCCACGATGTAGCCGTGCGCACAAAATGCAGTCCCTGTTACGATGTAGCCCACATTGACCAACCTGATATTGTTCCGGTATGAACGTATCTATGATGAGCATGTTCAGTTTGAGTTCTTGGCTGAGTTGCCGAACGCTGTCTAGATAGCCTTCGAGTTCGCGTTCGTGATCTCGACGCATGTCCGTCATTTCGGCTTTGGCTTGCTGTAGCAGACCCCAAACCTTCTTAAGCTTACGCGTCTTTCCGGCAGCCTCTTCTCGTAAGTCTGAATACCGTTCTTCAATATCCAGTCGTTCCGCCTGCTTGATCCTTAGTGCCTCTCTTAACGCTTCCTCAATTTGTTTCCTAGCCTCTAATTCTCTTTGACTTTCTTCTAACAATAACTCCTGAGCCTCGGCTAAAAACCAATAAAGTCGTGATGGTGTCATAAGTAAGCGAGTAAGCTCAGGGATAGACGATTTGTGAAAGTTACCTACAAACGCTGACGTGGGCAGATGCGTGATATATTCTACTAATCTAGGTAGATGACTTGAGACGCATGATTTTGACAAGGATAATGGAATTATGGAACATATAATTTAACTTTATATGTATGCGTTGGTTAACGAGTTTTTCTGAGACTAGTATAATACCTTTATCAAGCAGATTTTCTCCGCCAATGATAATTCGCTTCTGAAGGTAGGCAAGTTTCTCCTGCAGATCGATGCTTCGGCTCTTTGATATATGCGGCGCATTTCCCGGAGCGTTGCCTTGTGACGTCGCCCCGTCCTCGCCTTTGTCCTCTTCACCTCCGGAACCGCCACTATCTCCCTCGACCTCAGCCTCCGCCAGTCGGCGTTTAAGGTCCTCGATTTCCTTTTGAAATTTCCTGAAAAGACGTCGTGATCACGCGATAGTGATAGCAAGGTCACAGCTTTCGTACGTTGGACTACGGATCCTTTCAGCAAATGCTAAGTATGTACTTTAGGCTGCATCATTTAGTTGTTCACTTACTTGAGTAGCGCATCCTTGGGATCTTCATTGATTCGAGCATTATTCTGAATATTCTTGGCGCGATTGGCGTACCTCAATGTGCTGATTGTTTCCTCGTAATTGTACATTGCAGGGCCTACATTGGCCACCTATTAACGACGAGTGAAGGTCGTCGATCATTTCAACATAGAAAGTTAGTCTGCAGCATGACGCAGATATTTATGAACAATTTAGTTTTGTCTCTGTGTTTATTATATCTATCAGATCTTGCAATTAGTCTCTCCGTGAACAAAAACGAAACATATATTTCGGTAGTTCATTAATTCCAATGACATTTTAAGAACTTACACGCATCTGGTTTTAATAATTAAAAGGAAACTATTTTTTACCAAATTCTTCTCCGAACTCATATATAGGCAAACTCATATATATATATATATACACACATATATATTGTCGAAAATGTACAAATCGTCTTTCTAACTAGATGTCGTCAAGGTCACATATCTCTAATAATATAAGATTGCTTCGGGTCGGCGCTGGTGTCGTTCTGATATTAACGGTAACGGTTTTGAAAATAAGCGACATATCTAAAAAATCATATTAGGTTTTCAATTTTGTTATTTAAAGGCACAGTTGGCGCCCAGGCCCATAAAAGAAATTAGCTGTCTATGGCCAAGATGCCTTAGCAGAATAAGTGGCCTAGCTTTCGTGCTGGAAATTTTCGTATGTAGTAGTCGACCAGTTACAAAAAAGATTGATGAAACTATTGCGAAGGTTATCAAATTATTACTATGCTTATTATGGTTAAGGTACTAAACAGTTTCAAATCATTTGAAGCAAGTTCACTTGGAAAAAACCTGAAGCTTGGGTGCCACATTGAACTGGCGCAAAACAATTTAGTGGATCGTGTTTTCATCTGCCGAACCCTAGAGAAATGCAATTAAATAGAGCTATTTCCGAAGCGATTGATGACAGATGACGAGAAGAAATAGATCGTGGTGCTTCAAAATCCGTGGCAAACCCATATTGACGCCAAAGATGATGATGATGATGATGATGCTGTATGTCTAATGAAAAGGAATCGTTCATTGCTAGGCGTCACTATCTGTCAAACGATTTATGCAGACTTTTACTATCGGCAGCTAATAGGATAACGGCAAACCGTTCGAAAAAGATCAACCGGAGCTACTGAATGAGGCAGGCGTCGTCTTCCACCATGGCAATGATACCTACTCGGGGAGGAGGCAAGGAACTTTGATGAAAAATTTTAAGGCATACGCCGTGTAACCTGACCATTCCAGCATCAGGCCATTATCTGTTTCGATTTGCAATACTCCTTTGACGGGGTCAATGGAAAGATGCCAAAATCACCTGGTTACAGCAAAGCCATAGAAGCTCTATATGAATGGGATCATGATGGTACCAGGAAGACAGTAGAAAGTCATCGATCAAAGTGGCACGTATTATTCTACAACGTAAAAATCGTTGCTGCAATTTTAGCTGGAAAACGGTTTTCGACATGCAGGATGTTACGCTTATTTGGCATACCATTAACGTTTTAGAGTTTCCACCAAGCGAATCTTGCAGAAGACGAGTAAGCTTGGAGTTTCGGTACGGTACGTGAGTGGATTTACCGTCGACAAGGGCCGAAATAACATTTCCGAGTGTTGACAACGACAAATTAATCTTAGATGCCTCTTTCAAACGTTGACCAGACGCGCCTGTTTTGCTTTGCCGCTCGGAGCCCTATAAATTGAAGAAAGAAGAATGTCAAAACTGGGATAAATCTCTGTATTCAAATCTCAATCTAATGATCTTCTACCTAATGACTAATCTAAGTATTGATCACTTCAACAAACCTAAACCCCGGAGCAGCTATTGAAACCTGTACAAGTCGAAATGTCCTAAAAGCAATAATGCAGCTAACCAAAGAAGAATGGGTTATTGACGTAACAATGCCATTGTTGATCGCTTAAAATCTTCTTGCTAGAGTAATTGTTATTGGTATTGGGAAACTTACATATCTTGAGATTTCGAGTTCGTGCCGGATTGGCTGATAACGTTAGTTTAGCCTGTATTTTGCTTACAGTTAAATCCTCTCTGATCTTCAGAGTCGGCCTTTTTTTTGCCACATTAGCCTCATAAGGTCTTGTTTTAAATACCCCTGTTCACGGTTCCCTTCAGCTCGGGAGCAGCGCCTCTTAGCGGCAATCTTTTTTCATAGTGACAGGCCTGGGATTCGCGAGTGCCTGCCTGCTCGGGTCCGTTTTAGGTGTGCGTATCGCGTTACTGTGTTGTCATCTTCATCTGGTAAAAATATCCCAGAAGCTCTTTCTAATTTGAACCAAGAAGACTCTGGAGTGTCCATGCCCTATTAAGACCTATGTAACATAATACGGTAGTATGTCTTCGAACCGGTAATTTTTTCACAGCGTCTCGAAATGAGGATCTGTGCATATCCTGTTAGTTAGCTCATGGTTACCATGGCAAAGCACCCAAGTAGATGCGCATTGACTGACCACGCTACCCTGTGAGGTGTGCTATGCGATGACTTTTCTTGTCTGTATAGCTTTGATCTGCCGTCTTATCACTACCGCAAATCATACGTGCTTGTTTCCGCCAGTTTAACTTACGAATTATCTATCTGGTCAGATTGCCATCGTTCTTCACAATCGCTCTTGAATATTAAAACAAAATATTCACTTATTGCGAGGAATGTACCTATGAAGCGGCTGAATTATGAGACAAATCTCCTGACGCTGGTATTTGGTTAAGGCTGTACATCCTCAAAAATTATTGAGCTATCAGCAATATTTGACGAGTTCACCAGTGCGCCTTAATTCAACTATTTAAAAATAAACTTTACGTAACAATAAAAATATCTTAAGGTTTTATTTCAATTCTTTCTTCTACTAGAGCGTTAGAAGCACAAATGGACGAAGCTCTCGAAGATTCCGTATAGCGCTTACGTTCTATCTCTAGCTAGCAGGCATGGTCAAATCATTTATATTTGCTACGGTAAATTCTACTTTATCTGTTAGTTTCTTATATGGCTCACATTTGTTTGTGTCAAGTGGTGTTGCTTAACATTCGCGATGTATACAAAAAATCTATTTTCTATTTTCTCGTAAAATAGTCTTATAAATTACCGAATACCGGGCTGTATTTGAATGACGCGCTAGCCCCAGAGAAGCGGGGCTTAGTGTGGCGTGTCACCTTATTTAACCTCATTGGAATAACATGTGAAGCGAATTCTAAACATGGTCGAGTAGAGAAAGCAGGCTACAGTGTTCCGGTAATGCCAACAGATTTTACGGCTTACGTACGTATGCGTATGAGCTAAAGCCTTTTCTTTCATATTGGGTACACGGCGTATAGCGGCATTATACTTCAATACTACGAAAGAACAAAAACTTGTACGCAGATCTGTTTGCAAATCAGAAAGAGTACGATATGAATCACCTTGCTTATTTCTTCGTTGAAGCGGAAGAAACAGGTCTCAACGAATCCCACAGTCGCCATTCCAGCATAAACCATTCCCGTTTGCCATGCAGCAGCCGACCAATGAGAACTGCGGAGCGTACGCTACTGATGCAACGACTCCTCGAAGCCGACTCCTCTGACAAGCTCAATTCGAGACAGCGGCGCCACTCCTCCGGCAAGCTCCGGTCGAAGCAGCACCAGTCCTGAGCGGGAACGAGCTTCCGCTCGTTGGATTCCAGCCAGAAGAGAGAAGCCACGGAAGTAGAGACAACCAGCGAATTCTCTGTCCATAAGAAACGCGAAGGCAGACAAATAGACGCGGAAGCAAGCGGAAGTAGGCCTACAGACGAACGAACGAACGAAGGGACAGGACACACAGACGAAACAGCTTTGTTCTAATTGTATCAAGTCGGATCGCCGTCTCGACGGGAACGGTCTTGCCAATGTCGTTCTAGTAGAGTTTTGCTCGAGATAAATCAATCTCATTGTCGCGGTTTATTGTGCCACCTGCCATGTGCGGAGTTTGTAAGAGTCATGGTGATGGAATAGGAAGCAACGCAATAAAGGAAAAGCAAAAAGCTATCTAGTGAGTTACATGCTGAACTAGTGAGTTGGTGAACTAGAGAGCGGGATTTATCTAGCGAGCTAAATATTGTCGCTGAATTTTGGAGGAAATTTACAGGAAAAAGAAACCGTGCTAGAAGAGAGCGATGTCGTCCGTTCTGCCACCACGATTAACACGCGGAGCCAGTAATCGCAAGGTGGCTGCGTCCGGCTGGTCTGCGTCGCCGCTCAAATTGTCAACTTCAACTTGTCCGCGGCTGTCGCTGCTAGCGTTGTCGTTCGGTGCCTTCGTTCTGGCGTCTTCGCCAACTCTCGGTGGGGGTAACAGTAGAGGCGGCGGGGCCATTAGGTTCTTCAGCGCTTTTCGCCAACCGGTGGTTTTCCCACCTATGGACGCGGCCAAGTACTTAGACACTAGCACGCTAGGCCGTTCGCAATCATTCGACCAGCTGCCGGAAGAGCAGATCCTAACCAACGACGGAGTCGAACCTGAAGAGAACCATGAGCATGCGGACGATGTAGAGTTACATCATCAGGATCTAATATCAGTTGAAAACGGCACCGGAAGCAGCAACGAATCAACTGGTATAGACGCCTTTGCTAGCATTAATAATTCCGATAGTCATCGGCCAGGGGAGCCGGTGGCAATGCCACAACGTGGTTCCGCCCCACGGGTGAAGGCGCCTGAACATTCGCTCGCTGTATGGGACTCTGACGGCACCATCTGCATCCTGGCCAGGTTCCAGGCCTTCTTTACGATACCGTACGCTACAGCGGTGGGTATGCAGTACGCCTCAATGAAAATGCCGCCTAACAGGGAGTTGGGCACACGTGGCGTATGTTCAACCGACTCGCGTGATCCGCAATTCGAAGTTCAGTGGCCGCTGTTCAAGTTTATTATGCACTTTACACGCTCGCGCCAAAGAAGTTCATGGTACGTAAACAAACTAGAGGTGCAATATAATACTAATTCGCCTCTTTTTCCTGGGGCACTGAAGGCAGGCCGTCGATACGCATCGACAACGCACAATATCAGCCTGTTCATGACGCCGATGGGCCAATCATACGGATGTCCTTTGCATCCGCCTCTAGCGCTAGCCATCGTCAATTCAAGTGCGAAAATTATGGTAAAACTAAAGGACATGCGCCTTCAGGCATATCAGCTGACTGGCAACTATGGACCACTGTCTCGTTGTCAGCAGGTAGCCATGGCTCACACGCTCGACCCGTACAACTACGATCGGACGGTGCCCGTCGCCGTTGGCAGCACCCTGGCCGGCGTTTCAATCGCCACCGTCGTTGGGTATGCCCTCTACAGATCGGTGTTTGCTCGCAAAGTGGACTACGGTGCAGTGCAGTAATCCAAAAGCTGTTATCACTTCGAGCCAGCGCTACGACTAAGTCAGAAAAGAAATGAAGTGAAGGAGTACAATCCAATCAAGACGACGATCACAGCGTACTACCTGTATGCCAGTAATAATAACCAATTGTGAAAAATATCGATGGGCTCACCTGTGCATCGCTGTAGACTATTTGACCACTTGGGTATTCGGTATTCCGTAGAAAACTGCGGTTTTTTTCATAGCAACTGGCTCGTTTTTTAGGTGCTACGGATCTTCAACATATCGCTGACTTTACAAACAATATACAACTACCATTGAAACTGTATGTTACTACTATATTATATAATATAACCTATGTTCACTGTACATGCTTACGTCGTAGGCCAATTTAGGTACATGAACAAGGAATAACGCGGTTAACGCTGCACGTTGTTGTGAATCTGGCATAATAGTTATGACGTTAATCGTGCACACTTCGATCGCGTGCATATTCTGCTCGATAAACAATATCCCGCTCGACCTCCCCGATCGATGAAAAATCGACAACTACTGATATGCCAATTCACATACTATGCATTTACAAATAGCTCGAACAAACATCTATTTGCACAACAAGACAACAACCGGGAATAAAACTTCGATAAAGGCAACATCCATAGTCGCTTCCTATTGCATGCCAATTTTCTGCGCGGTTAAGGAACACTCGATGGTATGTACTTAGGGAAAAGGTAGATCCGCGCAAATAGTAAACGTGCGTGTTGATACGATAGTGGCGTCGTTGCCTTCCTGCATTATGATTGGGATACTGTGATATTCAGCTATTATCAGCATAACAAATAATCGAAAGTGACATGGGTAGACATAAGAGCGCTCGTGGGTCGCTCGGTCATCGGTTCCGCTCGATTAAGCCGAACAGACGACGCGACTAATTAAACATGATCGAATATTGCAGTTATCGATCAATAGGCCCGATCGAAGAGCTTACTTTTACCCATTACCTAACTTTCTGTCGACGGACTATAAACGTAAAATCCGACAACGGCTTATGTCGATTTGAAGGGAAAAAGACGAATACGTGCTCTTCGTGTGTACGTTAAATTCGGGCGACGCCTGTGTACTCACAACAAATACTCTACATAAACACGTTCTTCTGTCATTGTAAGAATTTATTCTGCAAGGCGCTGAATCCGGAACAAACACATTGCTTTACTAAATTAGGACGTGCTAATATTTATCTTGTCCCAGTCTTGTGTTGTCTCCGCTCTTACATGATCCGCGAACTATGGAAACATCCCCTTCAAACGTTTATGGCGGAGAAAAAATCCGAGAAAACTTGGTCGGCTTGGTAGAGCTCGGGGGCGCTTCTGCAACTCGTCCACAAGTATCACAGAATTGGAAATTAATGCAAAGACGAAATGAACGAACCCAGAGAAGATGTGTCTTCGCAATGCCCAAAGCATAAGATACTAATTTCGATTTGACCTAGGGTCACATTCTCAGAATCAGAGCTTTTTTGTGCTAAATGCTCTCTTTCTCTGTCGCTGTGTTAAATGGCAACTGAACACAACCTTTCTGTATCGGCTGTAGCAAAAGGAAAGGGCTAACAATTGTGTGAAGAACAGGATCATAGTATCTGGCGGTCGGATGGCATTATGTGGAAATGCAGTTTTGTTATAAACAGAAATAGAGCATTTCTATACACAATATACCGGATAATATGAATTGTCTCATTAACGCTTTTCCAATGTTCACTTAAGAAACAACGCAGTCGTTGTTGTTGTATGTAAGTTATATGACCTATTATGAATAAAGGACGAGAAGAATGGATACGAGGCTGCGCTGATTCTTTTAGATAGTATAGCTGAAATTGGATCAGTGTTTAGCGACTGATGAGTGCAAGGCAGAACCAAGCTTAAGGACAAATGAAGGCCACCTTTTTCAGCATTGTATAAATTAACACTACTTATTTAGTAAAGTAAAGTAAAGTAAAACTACTCACAATAGTCAGATCATGTAAAATATTGTCTGTGTTACAAGCAGCTTTTTGCACAAAAATCCTGATCACGTTCCTTCTATGAAATTGTAAAATTATTCTACAGTACTGTGTAACCGTTCTTATTAGGCGCATCCGAACTACGTGAGGCTTATGTATTTGGATTTTCTCACGCCGTATGACATACGGTCCCTGTGATAGGTTAGTGAGTTATGTATCTGTCTGCTAAGCAGACGTCGTAGTCTGGACTCCAATCTCATTCTAGACATACTTCGTTTCGTGCTAAGACCCAGCTGTCCAATAGACCTCCTAATGGCGATCCCGTGAAACTCGAAGCGTAGAGATCATTAGAAGCCAAATGGTAGAAAATATAAAAAAAAACGCTACTAGATGACACTTACGGCAAGGTCAACAAGGTGCAATTTTCCCATTCGGACATGTTCTCGTTCTGAGCATTCTATGGTGATGGAAAATATGGCATGGGATCGGGAGCTGTGGGCATTCATATTGGTCGCTCCAACGGCACCTGAAGGACAGCAAATAATTTAATAAATAAGTAGCGGAAAACGAAAATCAAACAAATCACAACTTAAATTGTCACACTTACTGTCTATTTAGTATCAATATGTGTCGCTGCTAGCTATGTGACTTCTCTATGGGTTTAAAATTATTTAAAGTACAGATTTCACACTTACGATTCTTGTTTCCTAGCGTCATAATTTTGTCAAGTTCATCCGCATTATTCACAACACACGAAGAGAGGTCCCTTACGTACACCCCAATATCGGGGCGTTCCTTCACTTCTAACTGTAAGCTTTGATCTTTCCCCAAAAGATCACGAACCTCCTCATTATAAACTTCTAAGTACGATACTCGAACAAGAAATCTAAACAAAAGTAATAGAAAATAGTGTTGCATTAATAGTGGTTGTCTGTCATTTAAACCTGTTCGCTCTCCTTTAACTTTACATCGACAGAACTTAGAAATATTGAAATAATTTGATTTCAATAAGCAAGATCGCCTGAATGAGGCTTGCTGAATGTTCAAAATAGGTAATTCGGTACGAACTTTATCTGCTCAGCTGCCTTGGCAATATATCCAAAGATGTGAGCAAATGAATTCGGGATTATGCCTTTGAGTTCTGGCACAGAGCGGTTTCCTTCCATTGTAAAGGTTTTCCCAGTTCCGGTTTGGCCGTATGCGAAAATCGTCCCATTGTAACCTGAAAAGACGAAGCGGGTCTTTAACTTTCCAGGGCTGTCAACGAATTGATATTTAATAAAACAGATCGAAGCTTTTTGAAATTTGGCTCTACCAAGCGCAGACATAGGTTTCAGGAGTAGTTTTCGTAGATGCTGTTGAAATACACGCTATTAGACAGAGACGCGATTATGTGAATCATTCGCTAGGGCCTATACGATATCTATCTCAGGCAAGAGTAATCTGCAGAAATGGAAGTTCGGCCAGAAAAGGCAAGACATTATCAACCGTTGGTCGTCCGGCCAAAAAATGTTTGATCTTACCTTGCAGGACATTATCAATTATTGGTCGTGCGGCTCGATTGTAAACGTCAACTTGCTTTGAGTCGGGTCCGAACACGAGATCAAAGGTAAAACACTGAAAAACAAACATGTTATCCTGACGTTAAAATTCACTCAGTCAAATTATACATCCGATTTCTCTGAAAAATTGGGATTTTTTTTTGTTGGCCCGCCACTTCCTTAGCCGGCTAGGAGTAACTGAGTCCTCAAAGGTCTTTGGGTACGTAGAAATAGACGGTGTGGACCATTTGCCGATTGTTCGTCCAGTCTTCTATACCAGCTCCAAGATGAAACTGTCTCTCTTTTGAGAACAACGTTATTATTGTCATTGTCAATGAACTTATAAATTGCTGTTTTTAATCAGCATTGATAAGAACTATCCGTTTGTAATCTGCAGCCAGTTAGGCCACTAGTCAATCACATGCGCGAACCTTCGGTGGTTCTGATCCTCCGCTCGGGCTGGCAACTGTCACGGTCCCTCCTATGGGATCCACAGAGATGACGTTTCGATAATTAGCTGCGATTTCAGACTCACTAAGCGGACGACACCGTACGCAAACCTGCACGTTGTCCTTACGACTTTTTCCATCACTGGCGATTTCTTCTGCGTCGTCTGCAGCGTCCACCGGCTCCGTGTCTTGTTCTGACATACTAAACTCCTAGTAGTTTTCTTCTGACGATACTTTTCAGAAAAACTTTTTGTGGAAATCAGTGTCAAAAATATTTCAGTACTTTCTTTAAGGTTACACTTGCTGTCAGTAGCATATTTTATAATATAGAGTTACACACAAAACTGACGACCACAATAACAACGGCACTTTGTTATGGCAACGGTACTGTTAATTACTATGTAAACGGTTATTTAAATCCGATCATACAATTGATGCTAATTTTACGAACAAAAATGCTTCCTAGGTGAACCGTCGGAATCGGAACAGCTGAGCGCTCAGCGACTAGTAAGTAACACCCGGCTAGCCACGCGTTAAGGTTGGAGTGTTGCCATAGAGATAAATGGGGTCTCGGATGATGTAACCCTCCTCCCTCCGAAAATAGGTGAAGGGACTGCGTTGGAGCATAGAGCGAAAGCGGACTCCAACATGTCCAGCAGGGGGCGCCACTCGACATGTTGTATGGAACGAAGAACAAAATCGAATATTGTTATCGCATACAGGGACGTTGTTATGCTAACATAGGCTATACTGTCTGTGGGCGTTGGCTATATCTAGTAATGGTAGTCGTAATACCATGGCATTTCGTATTTTCTCTATTGGCTAAACGACAACTCGCTCGTTCGGCTAGTGAGGTTCATGGGTAAGGGGACGCGTGGAGCAGCATGATCGTATATAACCACAAACGAATCGTAAAAGTAACACTAGTTGTCTAGAAAAGGAACGTATCATTGGTGTAGACACGACCAGCTTTCAAGCAGAGAACTTAAAATGAATTTGTGTCCGTGAGATTAGATCGTTCGTATAACTGTACCATGGATGTATTGGATACGCTCGGAAAAATCGTCCAGACTATGGTGGTAGGGACGGTCGTATTGCTACATTAATCTGGCTAAAACAGCTGCCTCCTTACCGAAAGCTGATGGTGTTCCCACATGAAAATGAAACAATCCCATTAGTACGACATCTGAGAATGCATGTAAGCTTACTTCGAAACTAGAATCTGATCGGAATACCGTACGGTATGAACTTCCTGAATTTCACTTTAGAGAAGATTAAAACGTTCCATAGGTAAGGCTGTTTTAGTCTCTTTATTGGTGCTCAACCCAACGTGGTGGTATTCAGGGCTGACCACATGGAGAAGCCGTTAACGAACGATGCGAATACTTCAAAGGGATATTCGTACTCGCATCTGCATCCTTGGCTCGGACAGGGCCTCTGAAAAGTACTGGCGCCAAATGGAAGGCCCGTAGAAGGCTGTTAAATCCTGCATTTGATTTCGAAATTCTCAGCGACATGAATCAACAGACGACAATCTTGATTGAACGTACGGAAGCCGACGAAGATATTTAGCCGTTTATAACAGCAGTTACCCTCGACATTGTCTGTGAAACCATTATGGGAGTGCAAGTTAACAGCCAGACTGCTGGAAATGGCCAAAAGTATTTCGAATCGCTTAAAGGTCTTAGTGAGCGTTCTTGGCTAAAATTCAACCACCTAGTCAATGTATCGAGTTAGCTGTTATCGCTGAACTCGAATCAGACCTCTATGAATTTGAGAGGATGGCAACTAGCCTTTCCTTGATATGTTGCTTATAGAGCATCTGAAACGCAAGACGATGTCAGCGAACGACATTCGAGAAGAAGAGGTTACGTTCATGTTTGAAGGGCGTGATACTACACGTACGGGCTTAATTTAGGCTATTTACTTACTTACTCGGACTGCCTCAGACGAAAACTCAAATGGAAATCGCTGAACACATTAAGCATCTGAAATACCTATTGATGGCGATTAAAGAAACGCAGCGAATCTTTCCGTCTGTGCCCATTATAGGACGCTCGATCACTGAGGAGTTCGAGCTTAATGGTAAGTCGGTACCAGTCGGCATAGAGGCGACATGCCACATACTCGGCCTACATAGGGATCCTGACGTCCTCCCGGATCCGCTGAAGTTTAATCCAGATCGTTTTTTTGCCGGAAAACACCAGCAGTCATAGTCTATTCGCATTTATTCCGTTCTCTGTGGGGCCACGAAATTGTATCGGGCGTCGTTTCGCACTATTGGAGGAAGATCGATATCGTCGGCGAGATGATTCTAGTGCCTAAGTGCCCTATTCAAGTTCACTGCACGACTCGACAGAAATTTATATTGCGTTCAAAATGATCTTGCTTAAAGGATATTAATAGTTTGTGATAGAATTGCTTTCCTATAAGCGCGATAAAGACCGATATTTTAACAAAAAATTATGCTGGGGAGAGTGTTAGCCATGGCAAATAAAACAGCTGCGACTTGTTTCCTAATGTATTTTATAATCGACGCTTGCCGAATGACCTTAAAGAGTAGCAAATTTTTTTTATAGGTAATAATTGCTATAGGCTTTTTTTTATAGGTAACCAACTTACAGACAGTATGCAAGTTACCACTATGAAGTTTGAGTTCTGGTTTGATTCGCTATTTACGGGCTACAGTAATATATTATTTTTTTTTTAGAAAAACATTTGACTAGCTTCTTTTTTAGTACTCGTAATGAAATAAACCGTTCTTTTAGCACTTTTAATGATAATTCAGTAACGAGCTTCAATTGACTCATAATTAGCATATATATATATATATATATACACGGTTCTTTACAAAATCTAGTCTCCATAAGAAATTAGGCATGAGAAACCAGATAAATGTAAACTGTTATTTATTTGGCACCGGAGACCGGGTTTGATATTTTGTACATTCATTGGCGATTGTTTTACTTTAATTACGCGCTACGAGCGTAAGTTTCTTATTTATTTATTTGCTTCCGTTCCTTCTATGAGGATCGGGTAGCCGACCTGTTATAGTAATGTATTTATTCCGAGCGCAAGGCTGACCAGAAACGTTTGAGTCTTCATCAAATACAAACGCATCCTTTCGATTTGAATAAAAAAAAAATAGGCAGTGTAAACGAGATCCTGATAGAATACATTCGTCCATGTAGAAAAAAAATATTTTTTCTCAGGTAACCGCTGACTCTATCGACATGTTCTTCGGCCTTGCATCATAGCATTTCACTATATCTATATGATAAGCATTGGAAATAGTATCTGACAATGGTAGCTCACGTACTGGTAAAAACAGTTGAACTAGATTCTCTTTCTATATAAATGGCCTTTTAGCAAAGTTAAAGATGAGCGCACTCATTGTAAGTCAATACAGACGAAATTTCAGGCTATCTCTCCCAATATGCAATTGCCTTTTCTAGTAGATAGGCCAGTTCTGGGAGCATGTTCAATTGTCCCCTCTTACATGTCTGCAGCAATAGCTACAAATAAGCCTATTAGCATTTTATGGTTTACAGCGCGTTATATTGCTAGACATATGCCTTTTTTACGATAGCCTTCGCACTGAAAAGGCGAACAAAACTAGTGGGAAAAAAATAACAATAATAGTATAAATTATACTGATAGCAGATATTAGGATGCTATAAATAGCACCTTCTATTTACTCGTTAAGGATTAGACTAACACACACCTCTTACGTATGAAATTATAAGGCATTGATTGCTATGTTATATTCGATCGTTTTCGAGTTTGCTTTAGGGAATGAAAACTCTGTCACATTTCACAACTGGGCAGGTCGAAAACAGATTTTATCACATAACCCTTACTCGAGAACGCCTTCAGTGACTTAAGACATCACTTGGGTATCGTATTGATTGTTGAGGTTCACCTAAAACGCTCCACGTACTTTTAGCCATGTTAAATAATTTTTTTCCGATCATTTTCCATAATAGTGTGCCTTTGTGTACGTGAAGCGGATCAGCCGATACAGCAAATGGAAGATTTACGATTCTTTTTTTTTGTCCAATCTGTTATATAATGCATGCTAAACATACCCTACGATTCTGAAGGGAGCGAAATAAGCCTATTGTGTTTACACAGGTGGACGTGAAAAGGCCTCGACGGCATTAACAATGGATAATTGGGCTTAGCAACCGTTAGTGAAATAAGTTGTATTTTTATGTTTTTTTTTTTTTTTTTCCCATTTGTTGGCTGCGATCTCTACTAATTCTAAAATCAAAACGAATCACTAGAAGAGGGATCACCAGGGAATAATCAATCTGCAGATTCTCGTATATTGACGGAATCAAAACAATATCCAATGCAATGCAATGCTGATTGGAAGCAAGCGTGAGGATTGGGTCACTTGTCTCTGGATTGTCCTTCTAAGCTATGTATTAGAATGAATTGTTCAGGTGGAGGTCAGTTCGCCGAGGTCTGATGAGAACCGAAATAGCGATTGGCCATGTTTCAATGAAGGCTGTATAAGGACACTGGCGTGGAAAGGAGGAAAAAGAACGATATGGATATCAAAAAAAGCAAAAGGAATTGTCCCAACCGAAGCGCATGAAAATTGCGTGAGAAAGCAAGATGTTTGCCGGCTTGTTAACTGGGAAATCTCAACAACTGATGAACAACACGCTAGTTTTTTCGTCTTCAGTTCGACTAGCTGACGATGAAGTTCTCCTCACAGGACCATGCGTGAGGAGATAAAGATATTAAGGGGAAATAATAAACGTTATTTAGATAGGTCGAAGAGAAGGTTCGTGGCTAGGTTTTGCAAGCTGCGAGAAAGGATAATGCACTCAAGGACAAGAAAACTGTCTTACTTACAAGAGCCGCTAAAAGCACAGTATCGATTATAACTCTCGTTTTTCTCGAATATGTATTCTCATTGCAGAAAGTATAATATTCTGCTTATGTTATGTAATACAGAGCTATTGCGGATGACTGACTCCGTTGCCCTCAGATACAGTGGGCACAAATCAACAGATTATCTCGATCGATTCCAATAGTAAATGAGTACAAATACCCTAACGCCGCGCGTCTTTCTTTCTATTTAGAAATATAACAAAATAGTATTAATTATAAAATCCATATGAAAAATGATTTTGAATGCGTACTATTAAACCGTACCGACTATAACTAACTGCAAAATACGTGATGACTGGTCGTATCAACACCCTTTGATACTTTATATTACCTCTACCTCTCTCTATACTACCTCTCTCATTAGTACTCTGATGTTCTGGGCTGATACATATGTGTATCGTTTTTTATGCTCGCCGATATCCGTTTTCGACAAACAGGGGCAATGAATTGAAAGCCCTTCAGTCGAAAAATGAAACTCAAAACATAGTTGTTCTGAGTGTTGATTGCCCTCTGAAGAAAGTTCGTTCTACCTTTTCTGGCTGAAGTATAGGAAAAAAGCATCTAGTTCTTCAAAATGAGTTTTAGCATCAAATAAGAATTCGATCATCACAAACGTATGTAGGTCCTTCGTTTCAAAGATTTCGTCGTTTCCATTTATTGGCAGCTGCGAACTGAAGTGTTGACAATAGAGCAGGTAAAGTAGCTCAATCGATGCATGTCCAGAGGTAAATTTTTCCGCTCAAGCGGAAATAGAAAGAAAGTTGTTCAATGAATACAGGTATTGTCTAGAAGCCACCCGTAACGAAGTGCCTTTATACCGACATCTCTTTAGCGGCCTTGGCAATTATCTACAACTCTTAATCGTTGAACTTCAGTTCATTCACCACCATCGATTGGTTCAGAACGAAAACGCATAGAACGCTTACTAAGCAGCATAATCTTCTTTTGGATGAGTCTGATAGTTAATCGACTGTTCTGTCTGATCCTCGAAGAAATACTTCAACAACGAATAAAAACTAAGATACTGAGCTATTTCAATGTAGGAATATTATACCGCTTTGGGCCAAAGTATGCTGCGCATACGACCATTAGCCTAAATTGAAAGAAGACTGTATTGGCTTTCTCAACGTTTTCTTCAGTGTTAGGTTTGTCCCTAGATAGAAAGGCCTAGCGGCATTGCTACAGCGGCAGGTACCCTATCGAAGGACGTTTCGCTGGCACGGGATATGTTTTCTTGATCTAGAAAGATATTTAGACTATAAGCGTTGTTTACACCGAGTCGGTCAGATGTTCAACTTTTGCCCTATCACCAGTCTGTCTCCTCTCTCCTAAGGAGAAAGACGGTTGGAAAGGATTTGGAGTGAAGCTGCATCGGCTCGATGAGACGACCTCCGCTATTCGTAACCGAGATATAAGTCGGTTAAGTAAAAAACGATCTTTTTTTTATCGAGAAAAGCGAGTGCATTCGTCACGAGAAGGTGTCTTCAGATGGTATTGCAGCCATGGAAGAGTATTAGAACTGACTCACAATGGAGTCGTTACGTTATCTTGGAAAACTGTTTCAGCCGTTGTCAACGGCTTTCGTCATTGCTCTGATCACAATGATGACTGTTATCCGTCTTCGGCAGATTCCTACCTACCGCAAGCTAATGGCTTTCCCACATGCCTTTGAATCAATTCCCGTCATCACCTATCTATGCAATTTCGTCGTTCTTTGCGTGAGAGAACGGCTGACAGGCATAGATTTTGGCGTGCTCTTCTGGCAACAAGTGCTCAAACGAATGGATCAATACCGAAAGCATGGCTGTTTCGCGATGTATCTAGGGGCTCAGCCAAGTCTAATTGTGTTTCGAGCCGACCATGTGGAGAAGGTGTTGACGAGTAATACTAATATATCTAAAGGACCCGTTTATAATTACGTTCATCCCTGGCTAGGCCTTGGACTGCTAACAAGCACTGGTAACAAATGGAGGACGCGACGGAAGCTACTGACGCCCGCCTTTCATTTCCGGATCCTTGACGAGTTCGCTGTCATTATGAACCGACAAGCGAAGATCTTCACCGAAAAAGTAGGTTCTAAAAAACCGACCGAAGATATTGTGCCGTATGTGACTGCTGTTACGCTAGATATCATCTGTGAAACGATTATGGGAGTGACGATGAATAGCCAGACGACTGGAAGTGGCAAAAAGTATTTACGCTCAATCAAATCTTTAGAGGCTCGCTTATTGGGTAGAATTCTTAAGCCTACCCAATGGGTTAACTGGATCTACAACCTAACGGAGAACAGTAGGCAGACTTGCAGGGATCTTAAAGAATTACATAGGTTTACGATAAATGTGATTAATGAGCGAAAGAAAGAGCTAGAAGCAAACCCTGCGGAGCTCGAAAAAATGGCAGCCAACGAAGATGGCATCTTCAAGTCCCGAAAACCGTTCTTAGATATGCTTCTCGTAGAACATATTAAACGCAAAACAATGAGTGTGGCAGATATTCGCGAAGAGGTGGATACGTTCATGTTCGAAGGACACGATACAACATCAATGGGACTCATTTGGGCTATTTATCTTATCGGGCTACATCCTGAAGTTCAAAGTAAACTACATAAAGACATCGACGACATTTTTCGTGGTGACACCGAGTCCGAAGTTACAGAGAAGCACATAAAGCAGCTTAGATATTTGGACATGGTGCTTAAGGAGTCGCAGAGAATCTATCCTTCGGTTCCACGTATCTCACGCACGGTCACAAAAGAGTTTAGGCTCGACGACAAGCCTGTACCAGTGGGCACAGAAGTGGCGTGCAATATTCTGGTCCTACATAGAGACCCAAACGTTTTTCCGGACCCACTTAGATTCGATCCTGACCGCTTTCTTCCGGAAAACTCTAGCTCCCGTAGTCCTTTCGCATTCGTCCCGTTTTCTGCTGGTCCACGAAACTGTATCGGTCAACGTTTCGCTATTCAGGAAGAAAAGATTCTTCTTGTATGGCTCCTCAGGAAATACCGTGTGAAGTCGCTGGATCCGCCAAATAAGGTCAATTTCGTCGTAGAAGTGGTATTATTGCCGAAAGGCCCTATTCGAGTTCAATTTATTCCCAGAACATGAGTGCAGTGTATTGGTTCAGCCAACCAACAAATACCTATGCATTTAGGTAATGCTGTTCGTAATAAAAATACTGTCAAAGCGAACTATGATACCTTCGGAGACAGATCTGAAGTCAAACTTGGAAAATCGAATAGAAAAGTTGACACTAAAGCGACCTGTCTATCGCTTTTGAATTGTGGCTACTACAGAGGAAAAATAAATCGATACTTCTGAAGTTCAACCTATTGACGAATTCTATCTATAGTGATGCTTTCGCACCACTTTTCAAGTAAAGGCGCGGGTTCGAAATAGGCTAGTTTTTCTTCTTACTCTTACAACCTTCCAGGCTCACAAAATGTAGTCTATAGTCATCATCAACAAAATCAAAATCATCGTCAGCTTGCCATCATTGTTATTATTATCATATCGAAGCATATATAGATTTTAAATAACATTACGTTATAGTTATTTTCTCCTATACGGATAAATTTGCTAAGGCTGTCTGAGCGAACCTGATTTTTTAAGGTAGCGTGTTTTGCGTATTCTATTTTCTTCACACTCGCAAAACCGCCTCTACGATTCGGCTTTATGTCGTTACATTTACTATATGGGGTACAAATTTCGTACTTCCATGTTACGGTCAATAATATTAAAGTACAGGAAACCTTACGTAATATTTCACATTGTTCATATTAAACATACATTACTAATTAGCAACGCCAAAGAAAAACTCGTTTCTCGGGTCATCTTATTAAGCCAATTCAGCTTGAAGAGATGGAAGCAAACTATATCTATTAAAAATAAGCGCGATGCCATAAAAAAGCTACTGATCTTTCTATGGAAAGAAGATATTGAGGCTCAAATGGTCTTCTTATATGAAAGTCTTCTTTTGGCGATGACATGGTTCCCGGGAAGAAAACATATCATGCATTCAGTGTTTTAATCAGTCCAAGGCTGAACGTTCGCAGCTACAACTAATAAATAGAATATATAATAGAAATACGGCTCTGGGGTTTTGTTTAGACACGATCGTATATGCTTACTTGTATTTTTAACCCGGCTTATTTTAGCGCCGTCTCTACTTACGTACAAAAATCTCTATACCCACCTTAACGTATGCGCGAAGAACATCAAGCATATGTTGAAATGATACGATTTGCCGTCTAGTATCTTCTCCGCGCTATCTAACTGATCTGAAGATGTAACAATCTCGATTTACCATGTTATTCGGTTCATCTGCGTCGTGGGCCATATGCCAACTTACATAAAGTGTAAGTGGAGCTTTCTAAACAAGTTATATTTATGTTGAACAATCAGTCAACTCACGTCATTAAGTCGCAGAAGGCTTATTGAAGCCGCCGTGTGCATTAGAATTAGGCGCCACGTATAGTCATTACCAATATGATATGAAGTTCAGACTTTTTTTTTGTCAGTGCTTCCAGGACGTCCTGGCGTTCTGTATGTTGAGCATTAGTTGCATCTACAGGATGATGAGTCTTGCCTATTGCGAACCTCTGTGTGGGTCGATGTCAACGAAAGTTGTCGTCGCCTGCTTGGCAGTCCATCAAGCTGGATCAGAAGACCGTCAAACAGTGAAGCGACGAAGTGTCCGCTACAGGTTCGCGTATACGTTCAGTAAGCAAAACTTTACCCCTAATAAGGACAGCTATTCACAGCGCATTTGATATAGTAAAAATTTTTTTGCATTTCTAATTTTCCTTTACTAGGTATGAAGAAAACTGGTACCAAGCCTCACCTTTCATGTGTACGTAACCAACGGAACCCTCACATGGCCAACTGCACCTCTATTTAGCCCATTCGAGTTCTGGGCCACAACGTTTAGTGCACATCTGAATTCATATGGCCCCGAAAACAAGTGATCATACACGTTCAAAATGGCGACGGTTAGAACCAATCCGACATCCCTCAGCATTTGACTAATCAACCGAATCATTAGTTGATCTAAATTAAAGTATAGATTGGACGTCATGCCACTTGTCTCCAGAACAACACGGAAAGTTGCTTGTTGTGGGTCGATTTAACAAGCCGTATTAGAATAACATCAAAGACAAGTTCTCTAAGGCCTTCAAAAGTTTCAAGTTTTACTTGAAAACTTGTTGCATCTATAGTACAACATTATTTAATTTCCACCAAAAAACTTCATTGCTGTATACACAAGTAACTTACAATCTTATCAGCTGAAACGAAGGAACGAACACGCAATGAAATTTTCTTTCCTGTAGGCCCTTTATCAATTGGTAACAAAGCTGCGCAACAGAATTGCTGGTGTAAACCTTAAGTTCAGGCATTTATTATTAAGGTGCTATCAGTAGAAGGTGATCTGTAACTGGCAAATGGCAAATACGATCTCTACGAGAAAATGCATTTTTATTCAACCGTTCGAAGTGTTTAATAGAATAAACTTTAGCAGATATTCCACCTACTCACATTGAGAAGAATAATTTACTTTAGAAGCCAAACCTCCTTCTAACGCTTCTTTGAAACTAAACAAGGCTCATGTAATTGTCCTTTAGCGGGTCCTTCCTCGTTACACAAATTACTTATCATTATAGAATTCTCCCTCTTCAAAGCTGAACTAAGCAAGTGTTTTCACAAACGTTTTTACAGATTTCACTTTAGTCTTACTGGTTCGTCACAATCGCACCGATAGCCACTTGGTCGAGGCTCAATCTATCGCGAGCACTCGTATAACGTGTAGGTAATCGTTTTTACAAGTGGTCGTTATTTTTGTCACTTTTCAACGGTCCGGCTCATTAGGACGTATCCTTTTCGATGGGCTCGCAACCGTCCAGGTTGTTATGATTTGGTTTTTACAGATTTTGACTTAAACTATCTACCATCTACCAAAGGTCTTTGGCGATTCTATTGATAGTGCGGCGTATTTATCAGCTAGCACTTGAAGGTATCATGGCTAAAAGAGTGACTGGACGGCCGTTTCGTACGGTGCGCTTTTCGAGCGGTAAATCGGCCTGCTATATGATAACTTCCGTGATGTTTAGGCCAGATAACGTTGGAAAACAGATCCATAAATATTACCAAAGGCGGAACTCACGAATAAATTCAGCCTAGTTTAGGACTCGCTCTTCATAGATACTGATGAATTCCAAGAGGCAGGCATGTCGCACAATGCTGACATGATTCGGTAAGCGAAGATTCTCGTGAAGCGAATACGAGCCAGCTAAGCAATAGACGACATCGTATTGTACATGCTCCTACCATAACTGACGTTGTGTGCGAAATAATTGCAGGTGCGGCCCATTATAAACGGTAACTGGTATCTCGATTCGTGGAAATCTCTGGAAAAACGGCTTCAAGCCAAAGTAGCCAAATGTGCAGAATGAATTGAGCAGATTTGCAATATGTCTCGTAAACGATTTGAATGAGCTACACAGTTTCCGTATATTAAAGATTAGAAACGAACGAAGGTCTGAAGGTAAGGCCATGGTTTTCGATAGGTTGCGTCGTCAAGCGTTTTCTTGATATGCGATTAGCCGAGTATATAGAATGCGAAACGACGGGCATCAGTGATATCCGCGAAGGACCAGACACTGCATTGATGAGAATCGTCTGGGACATGTACTCTCACTTGGACTATATTGATAATTCCCGCTTAAGGTACAGGAAAGTTTTCCTAGGAGGTCAAAGTGACGGCCGAACGTATCAAGCACGTCAAATATTGTCGTTGCATTGAAAGAGTTGTCCGTTGGCCAATAAAGGAACTGGAGGTCGCAGCTAAATCGGTGCTCGTGTACACAGAGATATATGGGATGCAAATATGGATGGTGCACCAAGACACCAATGTCTTACGGAATCCTGTCAAGTATAACCCAAATGTCGCGAAGCAAAGAATTCACGTTTCGTTCGTACCTGCACCGTTCTCTGCTAAACTGTGTAGTTGTATTGGAGGGGAGTATTATCATTGTGAAGCTGAGGTTGAAGAAGTACAATCTGAAATCGTCTGAGAAGATTAATATAATTAGCTAAGATTACAACACAAATCGATTCGAGTTCAACACACTTCTCGAAGCTATTACTAATTATAATATGTCCATAATGAAGAAGTCTATACGAACACTTGTTACCATATTACTAGTTCGTTAGAAGACATGCAATCAAGACTATTTCAGATTATCTACAACTACGAGTTAATGAGTAGTGTTACACGTCTTGTACGACAATTATCGCAAGGTATACTGACTCATAGATTCTAGTTGATAATTTAGAGTAGAGAAAAATTGCAAGAAGGTAAAGATAGCGGCGATCCTTGAATGACAAGCATTCCGCCAATGCTAACGGGGTAAACTTTGGTTTGGGCTGCCCGCTTCCGTGCATATTGGGTCGTCGGCCTTCGTCTAACACTCGTTTCGTTGCTCATGTCAACATGGATAGAGCATACAATTATACCAACTGCCTCTGAACAATTAGGACGACCAAAACGATCACTACGGCGTATATATACATGTATATATTTAATGCGTAATATCTGTAAGTGCTTCAGCTGACCAGCATGTATAAGCGATTTCGATCATGAGGAAATTAGATTTGGTAGCATTTTAGCGTAGACGCGTTTGTGATCAATTACCTGTTTTTATCAAGTATGAAACATGCAAAGACATATCTATTAAACGTGTTCTCGGACGGAAGCTGTGTCACAGCTATTGTCATGAAGTGACTTCCACAATGTTGAATCTGATTACCTTGTGAAGAGCTGATTTCTGTTTTTTAAGCTGATCCAAACCTGTTACTTAGGTATCTGTTTTCACTCATCCAATTTTAGGTTATCCTCAACAAATACAACACACGAGAATGAGTTTATTCAAATTTTGCCACTTAGAGCTAGATGAAAGAGATAACCATCGAGCGTTTTAAGCATCGTTGCTTCTATTCCCGCCAAAATCACGCCTAACGTATTAATATTACGTAGCCGAACCGACAAACGAGACGAGCCGCTATACGTAATTCGTTTGTCATTGTTCTCTGCTCTAGTACAACGAAGCTGAAGAAGGCTTACAAATAGTAAAAAAAAAAAAAGAAGCGAGCCGGAATTTCAAACGCATATATATATATATGTATGTATGTTGGTGACTTGTGAGGTTGATGCACCGTGGGCACGATAAGAGTTGCCTCGACAAGTTCTGCTTTGTCTCGAGTGAACGCTGGCTCAGTCGCGTACGATTAAATAGACTCGCTACTCGCACTCACGTATTTATTCCATAGCATCCGTGTGAACGTTTTCTATCTATGTAACGCAGTGCTGCTACTGCTGCTACCCTGTAGGCCAGCCGGTGCGGCCTCTGCTGCTGAAACGAAAGTACGCGAAGGGATTCGAAATTCGCCAGTATCACTGATATGTGTTGGTACGGATGGAGTTTCTCGTAGCTGCGACCAATGTTTGTACAATGCCGTCACCGCAATTCACGTAAACGTAAGCTGATGTACCAAATTTGAATTTCAGAATGTAATTAAATTCCAATGATACAACGAAAAAATCTTCAGAATCATACATAGAAAATTGCCTATTTTGAGCCAGAGGATTGGCAAATCTGCGCTTCGTGAGTTTGCAGTCCTTCATCGCATCATCGCAATAGCTTAAATAACTTCATGATATGATACAACTTCTGTGCTATGTTAATGTGTTCACAAATGTGCAGTAGTTGCCAAAGCAGCCTTTTTTTTTTTGAACAAAAGAATATACTGTAAACGCGATGTCGGTTTTTTTTTGCTGAAAGGAAATTCGTCTAAGATCATTACGTGCTCTACACTTTTGGATTAATGTTCCAACTTCCTAAATAACTATCCAACTTGCTTTAAAAAGTTATTCGACTCGAGCCTTGGCTGTGTACTATGCATGGTGCTTTTTGTGTTCATTTTAAGAATTCACCTAGTTTTGAAAATAGAAAATTGATTTTAGGGTTCAAGGGTTTAATTGACTCACAATGAATACTAAACAAACTGAGCCGATAGCAGATCCGGGACCGAAATCAAGAAGGGCATAATTACGTTAAGAACCTTATATCAGTTAGGCTCGATTGAGCCGACAATTCGAGGAATTTCATCGATTGACAAACAGTTAAATAAAATATCAGATCTCGCAAATAACTTGCTTACTTAAACTATTGTCAGATGCCATTTTTATCGCCACCGTCTCTTAATTTGACTATAAATTTGCTCTTTACACGTACTCGATGACCCAATGCATTTGTTTGTACTTAATCTTACATTAGCTTTCGAGCTTCTAACAATCTTACCAACCCTAACAGTTTTTCAATCCTGCGCGCGATGACTGGAAGCACCAATGTAGGACCAGTGCAGCCGGTCCTCATTGTTCCTTGCTCTGAGCTGACGGCCAGAGCCAAACGGCGTCCTTGTCTGAGTGACGATGGTGCATGCGGGAGCAATGTCCTCTCGACTCGTGCAGAAAGGGCCTAACGTAGAGGGTAACAGGAATTGAGCGAGAGCCCGCTGCGGGTGCTAGCGAAGGGAGAGAAGTATGCTACTGTCTGCCGAATCCAACCTCAGAAATCGCTGTCCCCCAAAACTCTGAAGCGCATTTTCTATGGAGGGTTGTCTCGACGATACCTAGGGCTGTCGTGTGGGGCTCCTCCTTGGCTTTCTCCTCTGTGGGGTCGCGCTCTGTGTCTGCCGGGTCTGCTATGCTGCCGCTGCCGCTGCCGCTGCCGGTGCGCGCTGTGGTGTTCGCCGTTATCGCTGAGTCGCTGCCGCGCGCGCGTTCCCGGTCCACTGTGTCCGTTGGTTCCGGGGTCTATTTGGCAGTGTGTTGCAGGCCGAGCTAGTAGCTCCTGCCAGCCAGCTTGCCTCTCGCCCCGGTGTTTGGGTGCCGGCCATCTTGGCTTCTGCCACACCCGCGACAGGAAGCGCAGCAGCCGTAGCAGAAGCAGGGACAGGAAAGGAAGTGGTAAGGAATAGGGATTGGTCAGATTGCCGTTTTCCGTGAGTCGTAGCAGCAGGAAACAGTAGCGCAGTGAACAGTGAGTCCGTGTCGAATCGGTGCCGCGTGGGATTTTGCCAATGTCATCCCAGCCCACAGATCATCATCGGATAACCGCCGCCGCCGGTTAAGTCGGCCGGTCTAGAGATTATAGCTTAGTGATCATAGGTCAGCCGCTTTGATCGGTCGCTTCGGATGCGCGCTGCTGCACGTAACGCGGCGATTCAGAGAGAATCAGTGGCTGTGTTAGGACGAGCAAGCGAACGAGACCGTTTAATTAGCGAGGCTGAATAGCTAACGGTGCTGGATTCACTGTTGCTTAGAGATGCGTGCTTGATTTAGGCAAAACCTCCCATACTGAGGAGTTGCTCGTGGACTGGGAGCCGGAAAGAAGACTGGCCGGCCGGATTGTGTTGAAACCAAGTTGAACCGACGACAAGCATCTGGGGACAAGTCTGTATCCGCTGTAGAAACGCACAAAGGGAAAACACGCGTGCGACGAAGAAAACTTTGGAAGTGCGGATCGTCGTAGTGCGTTGAATGCTTCGACGCTAATATCTTCGCCGTCACTGTTACAGCGACCCCCGCTGATTAGCAGCATCTGCTGATACAACTCTACTAAGTGTTTGACGTGGTAGCGGAGGTACAACGGAGGAGAGTGGGTTCTACTGCAGCAGCTGTGGCTGTGCTGCTAAGAGATGAGACTGCAGGCCAAAAACGTAGAGATGCACAGACCAGGATTCGGCTTCATCGTTCTCCTAGTTCTGCTGGGACCAGCCCTCGCTGCCGTCAAGATCGGTAAGCAGAAAATCTTCAGACCACCAAAACGTTCACACAAGCTATATTCCTATTTTCCCTGACACACGGGACTGTGTAGCCGACAGGCTAGAAAGCGAAATCTGCTGATGCGCAAGAATGAAAAACCCATCTAGTTGTTTTGAAAGATTTCAGAAGAAACCCAAAGACACATAAAGGAAACAAGCGCCACTCATTGCTTCGCTTGAGCCGTTGGGCCGTAACGATGGGAGTCAGTGGATGAGTTCCCACCGTGGAAAAAATGGGTGCGATGGAGGGCCAGAACTAAGAATCCGCGTTTCGATTTGCTAACTACTATCGATTTGAAAGACAAGCTCGAAGTAAATCGACCATCTTGCAGCTTAATAGAATCTGCGTGAATAAGTAAGAACGGGATCAGCTTTGTCAGTGCTGACAGGAGAAGGTTGTGTGCTACGTATACTAGCAATCCGGGATCGGTGCTGCCCAAGTCGGCAATCTGCCCAATCTCGCTACTACTAGAGCGCTAGTAGTAGCGAGATTCTAGCATCGCTCCGACGAGGCCTCATGGAATCGTCGTGTAAAAGTATTGCAGCACCGTCGATCTACTATCATTTTATGGAGTCATTGGTGAAATTACCATATATCGGGTTACTGAAAATCTGACTAAAACCGATACGTAGTAGTTTAGACTGGGGCTAAGATTTTCATAAGAATTAAGAATTTGGTAACGTTATTAACATTTCGTATGGCAGGACAATTATCATTATTTGATGGTACACACATTCACTATATAGAATAATAATAGTGATAAAAATTCTACTCTTTTTCTATTTAGTTTACCCAAGTTATCGGTGGCGATGTATTTGTGCCTCTGATTCGAACGGGGCAAAGGCGTCTTAGCTATGAAAGTAACACCTTTGCTCATGCTTTCTCAACCCCAACACGCTCCCCCACTAACTCCATCAAGCGACTTTTCGGAGAGAATGTACCTTCATAGCTTTGTCTGTTCGAGGTTTGTACCGAACGAATATTTGCTTGCTAACACTTTTGTTCTCTTTGACCTTTTTGGGTCCCCCAGCTGGCGTATAGATACGATTCCGTAAATGCGTGAAGGTAATTTTGCCGCTGGGTGAGAAGTCAACGTCGAACTCACGTGAGGGCAGCCGTAGTTGGTAGTTATTAATAGTCGGAACCTTTGAACAAACATGTTAGATAAATAAATAGGTATCACTCCTCGCAATAAGACGACGACCAAATGACAGTTGAAACATTCGACATTAGCGGTAAATATATGCACAAAACGAGTAGACGGGCATGTATGGTTGTTTGCAAGTTATTCTAACCAGGAGCAGGACGCTAGAAGGAAGAAATTTAAAAGCACAGTTCTCTATGCATATCTAACGCACGTGCATGCACGCCTTCATTGAACCAAACAGAAAGGGTTTACCGTTAAGAAGGTTCTTGGCAACTCAAACGGCTTAACGGCGGCACTTCTCTGAAAGTCTGAGATGTTTCTTACAATACGGCGTGCGACCTAAGGTAAAAACTGTTAGCAGGAAGGCTTCTCAGGTGTGTGTGTGTGTCAACATTGTCTTAAGGTCGCGGCACTTACCCGACTAGAATCTCTGATTAATGTGTTCATTGCTACAGGTATTAGATTAATGTTAAACATGTGCTTACTAATCACAGCTCAGTATCAGTCGACAGGTGTACGATAGTCGACCTGGAATCGTCAACGCCTTAAACGTTTATGCCAAACATAAGATGAAGCAGTGCAATGTTATTAGTGCATAAAAAGCGCCCTGTTTTTTTCTAGTCTATGTAGGTGAATTCAGGCAGTCGCCGTTGATCGAATAGGCCAGTCTGCCTGTATATGTCGGGATACCTAGCAGTTCTATGAATAACAGTGGCGAACGATTAACGCAAAAAAAACTAACCTGATTCAACTTTTGCACCCGAATTGGCTTCATCTGTGCCCTCCACCATCTTCCTCTATACTCGTATCAGGTACGCTGACAAAAGCCTGATCGTAGAGTCCTGTCTCAGACCAGCAGCACTAGTAATATTTGTCATCGTGGTCTAAGATCGTTAACGTGTCGACAGGGGATCGAGTCGATCGCTTCCCTCTTTTCATCTAATTTTCCTGTGATTACCTGTTGTTTCCGTAGCAACAGCTATGCGACAAGCGAATCAGCGTGAGCTATCAGCTGCGCTTCATTTACTGTCCCATCTATGTCCCTCATTCATGGGCGCTTCTTTCTGATGAGAAGTATGTACGTTTATGTATATGTGCAGTGTTACATTGCGGTCTCATACTGTCAGTCTGTGCATATAACTGCCGAAGTCGTATAATCGAAGGTTCGCTCTTGAAGTCCGGCTGACCGTACTCGGGGGTATCGACAACAGCAGCGGATTAATACCTACAGGCTTATCTCATCTAAAACATGTTTGACATGTCAGCATAGACGTTACATGTGCTACTTGTTACATACATTGTTATGGTGCTGAGAACGCTCTAAACAGAATGAAAAAGAGTAGTATTTGAATTGTGCCTCCTATCATGTGCCTACCATTTTCCACTTTGCGATCATCTGTTACTAGACATTTACTCTTTCAACTATTACAAGTATCGAGTAGAGGTGGCAAGTTGTCCTGGTCGATCCAATTGATTTCTACATGTTGAAAAGTAACGTAACGGAGAGCAGATATTGAATAACAGTAAGAGCCGACGCCAACACGGCCGTTCTGTCATGGTTGACAGCCTAGAGGCTCTCGTAGGCAGTCATTTAACCTGTTGCTCAAACAAAATAAAGAGAAAAATCGAAGTACGGCTGGGTTTACGGAGAGCCACGTAATCTTCAGACGATCGAACATGACGAATGAGATAGCTCATTTGTTCTGTGTCGCATTGGCTGGTCTTGTCGCTAGTTTTCATTGTCGCCATCGTTTCTACTTCTACACATAAGATAGACAGTGAATACGTGACTATGCCGGACCATAATATGCTCGTATGTGCGTGTCCAAGACGATCTCCATGTACGTGCAATCGCACGCGACTCTCACACGTTTATACATCCATCTAGGGGGTGGACATGAGCTTGTCGATAATTATCCAGCCACTAAGACTGATTAGCGATTCCAGCAGAGGCGATCGATGGTAATTAGGACGGCCAGGCTCGACAATGTGCGATCGGACAAAGGCGGATTAGTTTAAGGCGAAGCATATCATTCCTTTCGCCTCACTCAAGCTGCTGCTCGACGCTTTGCTTTTGGATCGTCATAATCAGTAGCGCTGCTTCATTCCGAAGCTCCTCTTCACTTGACGCTCATGTAACGTTGAGGTTATTATCGCTGTTGATTTAGTAATACCGGCAATCGACTCAATGTTGGCTCTCGCGGTTCGGACGCAGTCGCCGAACCCGAACTGACACTATACGAATGATGGCATCAAAGTAGTAAAAGAAAAAAAAAAGATCGAAATCGCCGCTTCTCCTAGCCAAATGGTCATTATGCTTACGATATTTGCAATAAAATAATGCTAGATCGCTAGTTACGCTAGGTCCATATACATACCTTAAAATATGGGCGAACACTTGTATCTGTTGATTGGTAGTTGCAATGTGCGTAGCCCTTTAACCATCGATACCACTGACGAGTATACGGCCATGTGTTTGTGAATATCTAATCAAGCGGAAGTTACTACCGTCACATATCGTTAAAGCTTATGACATAGACCGTTGATGGCCACTGTCTGTCAGAAAATACGCTACTTCGGCGCCTCCGACGATGACGCTAAGGTGGTCATTGCCTTTCGTAGAATAAAATAGCTAATAATAACACTGCTGTACTAATTATTGTTATTTATAACTTGGTAATAGGCAAACAACACTGCCGCCTCTTTTTGTCTCGCCAGTCCACTTACGACCGCACCTTGCCTTTTTAGCGGGCAAATACATATATGCGCATAGTACTCAGGTGATTAGACTTCTAGAGCTATTTTTCTTATACAGGTAAAAAAACCGACTCATTTAGCTCACTTAAACTGACTCAGTTTTCGTTAGGGGCAAATTTACCATTTGGCCCATTTTAGCCTCAACGGTCCACAGTGGGTGGTAAAGAGTGCACATATTAGAGCCGTTTTCGGCTAGGCCGGCTACGTTGCCTACATGCATGATCGAGCATCACGCACCAAAAAATGCGGTAATCGTAACAGCCTTTTAAAGTCCGCAATGGTTACATTTAATCATTGGCCGGTGAGCACCCGCAAGCCGGTTCCGCAGCAGCGACAGCTGAACGACGATGCTGCTACTAATACGAGTAGTAACCCTCGGCTCGTGTTCGTTAAGGAAAGGGGAGAACTAAACCCGTTTACCATCACCATGACAATTATCGATGCCCCCGTATCCGTGCCTCCGTGTTGGCTGCGTCTGTCAAGCAGCAGACAACTGAACTTCAAGTGCTTGCGCGTTGAGTTTGTTTAAATCCGATGGGTACACTCGGTCGTTTCTACATAGAAGTGATTTAAAGTGACTACATGTTACATCTCTAGCTTGTGCAAAGTAGAACGAAGGGCATTTGCTAACTTTGGCCAGTAATGGCAATACCGCTCTGTCTACCCACCATCGGAGAAAGAGAACAATCGCGATGATGGATAAATGTCCGCTTCGTTATGAGCTTTCCCCTCATTTAGTCACAAACGGCTGTGCGAGCGTCTCACGCTAGGCATACAAGCTCACTTTCTCTCTCGACGGCACAACGGAGAAGAGAGGAGGGGGTGCAATAAAGCGTCGATTTGCGCTGAGGGTGGTTGGGCGGTGAGAAGTAAAGAACCATGATCTCACCCATCATATAGCCGCCAGGGCTTTCTCGGCTTATTTTATTTATATCGTTTCGTGTCATATATACATAGAGAAATTTCTGCACCGTTCTATTGCCCAGTGTCCAAATAGAGCCAAACGAGCGGCAAAACATTACTACTGGAGCCCAATGTTATGGCATAGTCTTCATGTTGACACAATCAC